AAATGTCTAATGAAAATAAGATATGAAAAAGCCTCAGGAATCATAGTCGTGCCCTACTGGCCATCACAACCATGGTTCCCCGTTATGCAGGAAATGTTGGTTTCTGATTTATTATATTTTGGGCCAGATAAAGATCTGTTATTTTCGCCTTACAGGAGCTGCCATCCTCTTCACCAGCAACTTATCCTGGTGGGCGGAATCTTATCAGGCAATCTATGATAAGACAAGCTATCCCCACTATCGCTTTAGATACTATGATAGCTTCACTATCAAAACACACACTAAAACAATATGATGTATCCTACAAAATATGGTGGGCTTTCTGTCAAGAAAACCAAATTAACCCTTTGTGGCACACAAAGGGTTAATTTGGTTTTCTTGACAACCAGTGTGCCTCAGTACCAAAAATAATACAGTTTTTAACAATTCAGTTTGAGAAAGGCTCTTCTTATGGAACCCTTAATTCTCATAAATCTGCTCTCTCTCTAATAATTGGTTCGCGTATAGGGAGGGATGAGCGTATTAAAAGGTTGTTGAAAGGTTTTTACAAAACAAATCCTCCAAAACCGAAATACTCTTTTACTTGGGACCCATCTATTGTATTAAATACACTAAGAAAATGGCATCCTTGCATTTCATTACCGTTGGAAATTTTGACGAAAAAATTGGTTACATTACTAGCCTTATGTACAGCACAATGTGTACATTTCTTTAATAAAGATTAAAAATATATCTTATGTAGAGTCAGGTTTACATATAAATATCACAGATATAACTAAAACATCTGCGCCAGATCGTTCACAACCGGTATTGGTCTTACCATTCTATACCGAACCTGAGATTTGCCCATCACTTACTTTACAGTTTTACATTAATTGGACCAAAGATATAAGAGGTGATGTTGAAGAACTATTTATAATCACTAAAAAACCACATAGAGCGGCTACACCATCCACATTAAGTCGTTGGATAAAAAATGCGTTGACAAATTCTGGCATTAATACAGATATTTTTACGGGCCACTCTACTCGTCATGCTTCAACATCCATGGCCAAGATGAAGGGTGTGTCTATAGAGGCTATTAGAAATACCGCGGGTACAGAGTCTTCGCAGACATTTGCAAAATTTTATAATAGACCCATATACTAATATTTTTGCAAATACTGTTTTATCTGCAATGTGAGTGCTAACTATAGTACTTATACAATTTTTAATATAAAAATAAGTGTATTAAGGGATAATAATGTGATAATAATTGAAACTTGTTATAATTAAGAACTGTGTAATGAAGAATTTCTTATATGACTGATTAATATGATTAATAATTATGTTTAAAGACTTGATAATGTTAATGTTGAAAATGAGAATTATCCATAATTTTAATTTTTGTAGTAAAAGACTGATTTATACCAAAAATAGAAAGATGTTTTATTACAGCTTATACTATCCAGTTGTAATATTAAGGAAAAAATTAATCACAAACTCACTGAGACTCTAAATATCTACATGGTAAATATATATATCGAGAACGAAGCACTGGAATATAATAAATGATCAAACGAACTTACCTGTGATGTTCGATCATTATTATATGAAGTGCTTCGTTCGAAGATATATACCCACCCAGAGAACATATATAGTAGTAATACACCTGGTTTACTTAATCCCACCCTTTGAGTTTGTGATATAGTCTCTAAAGGAATGACAAGTATCAATCTATTGTCTATAAAGTATGACAAGTGTTGACAGTGAAACGTTTAATTTTCTTTTTTTTTTAGGCTTTAGAATCTAGCTCTAAAATTGCGTTATGTTGCCTAGTGATTAGAAGAAACTACATGGTAAATATATATATCTTCGAACGAAGCACTTCATATATATCACAGGTAAGTTCGTTTGATCATTTATTATACTGAATATAATAACTCGATTATACTCTCACTAAATTCACCTAGTATAGGAATTTTTAAAAATGTGTAAGATATTGGAGTTATAATATTTTTTTAGAATAAAGAACACCTTTATATATTTTAATAATAAAATAAGTCGAGTAGAGCGAAACGTAAATAATTTACGATAAAATTCGGATTGAAAGATTGCTATCTCAATTGGTTGTAGGGAGACGAAAGGTATCTAAATAGAGATAAAACAAATACTAAAGAATACCTCCGTCGTAATCTTACTGTGCGCACAGACTACAATGAAACAGACTCCTCTTAATTGCAATTAAAAAGTGAAACATATGAAGAATCTGGAGAAAGATTATTTAAAGAATCGGAAGCACTCAGTATTGAAAGACTTAGAGCTGACTCTTTTTAAACAAAATAACCACGGACAATGACATGCTATATCAATTTCCAAGGAATGTTTAACTGTGTTTCTATTAGAGGACCGAGATAGGTGAAATTACAGGATACGACGCATAGTATCAAAGTCCTCCAGACAACTCATGAGTGGTATGACGGGCACATGATGATGCATGGACATGCATAGGCCCGTGCAGCTATGTATATAAGCATTGGTTTCACATATTATGAGGTAGTCCATCAGCTTCTTGCCGTTCCAATTAAGTAAAACAAAAAAAAGAAACAAAGTGGAAACCTAACAATAAATTGACCTTCTTTCGGAAAGTTTCGAAAAATAATTTCAATTTTCTACTGTATTTCTTGGAAAAATTATTTTATTTTCATTACTAATATCCCTAAGACTTGGTATACCTTTACTTTGGTAAGACCTTTACGACTCAAGTCTATACATATGTGTTTGATCAGCAGATAAAAAGGCTAGGTTTCTCATTACATTAATTAAAAGAATACAAGTTCCTCTTTCATTAATTATTATTTAATTATTTTCCCTCTTTTTTTTGTATTAATATTATATTTTCCTTATTTCTCATACATTGTTTGTTACCTACCTGTTTACCCTGTCTTGAAAAGATAAGGTGATTTCTGCAATACGCCTGTCTTATTGCCAAACACGTGTAGAAACAAAGTTTCATTTAATTGTATGAAGTCTTCATATATCTCCAAAAGTCTACATTTCCAATTAAAAACTGTATGTACATACTAGGATATAATGAATTTGTATGAAGTCTTCATATATCTCTAAAAGTCTACATTTCCAATTAAAAACTGTATGTCATACTAGGATATAATGAATTTGAAGAGAAACAAATGGCGACGCGATAATTGTACCTACAGCGGAACAATGAAAACGGAACATCATCTGACAAAGGATTGTCTGTCATTGTAATGGGAATTTTAATTCACTCCCAACAGATGCATGAATAATAAACAGTAGGTTTACGTTTCAAATGTATTCGCATATAGCATAATTAAACATGGCTGATGAATATAAAACAATTTGTGAAATGTACTAGGTAGGTATAAATGAGAGTAGGTCTAATTGAAAACGGATAGTTTTATTGCTGTTTCCACGAACAGAGTATATTCTGAAGTATAAATTAACACAAAGATTGTTTGGTTTCGGCCACATTTGAAGTTTTCACTTTTCGGCGTAAGATAGAGTAACTAACCACTAAATCACGACGGTCTTGAAACAAAAATGTCAAGAAAAATGCAGAAATTGCTGGAGAAGAAAATTTGTCTATAATTAAATACCGAATAAATCTGGCATTTTTAAGGATAACTGTAACTAACTCTTAAACTAAAAAAGGATAATAGGTAAAAAATACGTAGAAATGAATTCTAGGAAACACAACTAAAAAAAATACAAAGTCGAATTGAGAGCCTCCACTTTTTTTTTAAGTAGGTTAAAACTAGATAACACGTGATTCGCGTAACGCCTCGCCTGAATAAAACATGGCGTACAAAAGTTTTAACACTCTGAGGTATTTACATACGCAATAAACCGAAAGTAGAACACCCTCTTTCATTCCTTTTGTTTTTCCTCTTTTATACACTGGTAAACAAGCTAACATCTTCTGCTGATTGGTTGTTTTTTTTCAGACTACTTAATGTTGTTTGACCGCTGGCCTTTACAGCTTCACCAGACAATATGGGCGAGTGCAGATGGCACTCCAAACCCGCGGAAGGACTTATGGAGTGGCTGAAGACCCAACTCCCGCCTGACGGATACGACTTTAGTCTGAGGGCACCCCTTGGGGTTCGAACCGCAACTCAGGCCGTCGTAATTTCGATCCCCATTTGAATTGAACGGGGGATCCATCGGAGGGAATGATTAATGGTCAAAGTCACTTATATATATATATACCATCAAGGACGGTCATCACGTTATCATGTGACGCTGTGATACCTCGCATTGCCATTCTGGAGGACTAGGGTGTCATGAATGTAAAGAGTATATTCTATTGACCCTGTAATAATAAGTAGTGAACTTGAGATTTTCTACCCAAACGTCTGTAATTTAAATTTCAAATCTATTCAACAATAATTATAACGCGTGTTTAGGCCACGAAAAATCCCATTTAATAGAATTATTAAGGAGTATAATTTTTTTTTATTTTCTTTTGTTTAATTTTATTGTTTGCTAATTTTTCTCTTAATGATTTGTATTGTGTTTATTATTTCTATTTATATGCTATAATAATTTATAAGCTGCTGTGAGCATTGTCATTATTGTGTTGTCATGTGTGATGTACTAAATATTATTCTATTCTAAATACAATACTCTAATATAAAATCTGATGAGATTTTGATCAAAGTTATATGGGACCAAATAGAAAATAATAATCAAAATTGACATAGAATAAAGTTCGGATATAACACATACTGTCAAATTACGAAACTTTTTTAAATTTCGTTCAAAAGTCAATTAAAATATCTAATGTACAGTTATGAAAACAGTTAAAAACCTAATTAAATCCACGAACGTCGTAACACATTTAAATAATACTACATCCTAAATAGCAAAGCTCGATCACCCAGATACTAATACATATTATGTACATAGTATATAGCATGTACTATTGTTTCTAAGTAGAATAACGTAACATATATATTTAAAATGATATTATCTTACAGATGTCGCGTGTGCAGCAAAACGATCTGCTCCTACACGAGGCGGTAATCAAAAACGAACCAGCTGCCGTCATAGAGGCGCTGCAGCGGCCAACTGACGTCAACTGCAGAAATAATGTGAGTTTTTTATTCAATGACAACATAATAATATTAATAACCCACTGCGGTTACCGTACCCTGTTCATCCCCTATTTAGTAGATCTGAAAATTGGCTACAATCTATTTTTCATATCCCTAACATTTTTTTTTTATTTCTTGGACATTTTATATTTTATTTTCCTTTAACATGGTATTAAAAATACATACATCCCTAAATTTTCACCCGTCTACCATCAACCCCTACTTTTAAATAGCGATTTTAATTCACATGACAAAACGACGTTTACGGGGTCAGCTAGTATATATCGAAATATATATTATGATAACTTTAATAGTAATGATAATAAGGTTCATAATTATATATCCTTTGAAATGCCTGGAAAATACCCAAGAATATTTTCGACTACTTGAAAGTGGGAAGCTGAATAAGCCAAGATTAATCATAATAAAACCTGAGGGAAGATTGCCCTCAATTTATATATATTTTCTTTTTTATTTCACTTCATATTTTATTTACATATTTTTTTCTGATTTATTTATTCCGCTTTGTATTTTTAATTTCCTCGTGCTTGTTACTGGAGCGAGACTTCTAAGCGATTATTATTAAATTAAAACAAATAAAATAATTATAGAAATATATTTCAAATTTATATTCAAAATATCATTATTCATGTAGGTCTTTACAGGCAGATATGTCAAATCTACCCTCAGCTCGGAATGATATCGAGATGAGTAGAACTGACAAGAAACTCAGCTTGTATTCTTTTCAAATAAATGAATTACATGTTCATTTTGGAATTTCATTTTAAATTTGGAATTATTTAAAATTTGTATCGAATAAAGCTCACAACAGTCAATTGTGTCATATAAAAAAAATATATGAAAATAAGATATATATAAACTATTATGGAAACTGCCAGCAACAATAGAAAGAAAGAAAATATTTATTATCAACAATTTCATTGCATGCATACACAATATTTCATACATACATATACATATACACACATACATATACACTATAATGATACATACAACATAAGTAGGTACTAATTATACCTATTTATGCATTCAAAAAAATATAGAGCACTGTTAACAGAACCTGTATAGTGCCTCATTAATAATCGGGGACTTAGGCACCATAAAGGTCCTAAGGCTAACTCAATTTACCATCATATACTGATTACTAACATAGTATATATTAGAGTTTTTTATAGCAATTGCTATAAAACTCTAATATAAAAAATATATATTTCAGACTGCCTTTCTGGTGATGAAATTAAAGTTCATGTTTATAGACGGCAGTTGCCATTGCCATCAGCTTTTATAGCAATCAAATTCCAATAAAAGATAAATTTCATTTATTATTTATTTATTTCTTACAGCCATTTTTTTTATTTTAACAGGCACACATACGCAATAGTAATGTTAGTATGGATTATCTAATGGAGTAAATAAAGATTATTATTATTATTAAAAAAGAAATGAGCAAGCACAGTTATAGTATGTAATATTATGTTATCTGTGGTTTAATTATTATTATTAACAAATACTCCTGCGTAGTATTAACATCTTCATACAGCTATGACGCGTTCGTTATCCTACTGCAGCTGTGCGCCGTGCAATATTGTGCATCTGTGGCGCATTACGTTTGCGCGGGAAAATAAAAAACTACAAAAATGGCTTCTTCAGCAGACATACTAATTATTTTGTACTCCTTATTTCTAATTGTTTTATACTATTGATTATACGTTTATATGCCTGTAATTTACTTCTAATATAAACAATAAACTATATAACAAACCTAAAACTATATATAAATACAGCCTCTAATAACATAACTAACGGTACTATATATTATATGTATGTTTCTTGCAGTACGGCAGGGCGCCGATACACTGGGCGGCAAGCAGAGGAAACGTCGACATAATCAAATTACTTATTGAAGCGAAATGCGACATAGAAGCAGCTGATAAGGTAATTTCCAGTATTACTCTTAACATATCGTACGCTTAATAATAATTGTCTTAACTCAATAATTATAAATTTTATAAAATAGACCTTATTGTTTTTGCAGTAAGGTTGAATTTCTAAAATTTGTAAGCTTGTAATTAATGCACTTTATTATTATGCGTGAGAATTATATAGGTACTAGCAATACCGTATCAATGAACAATTTGTTCTGAATATTCAGAATAAATTATTTAATAAATAAATATTATAAATATATGTTCATTAATTAATACAATAAATCTAAATGTAAAATTTGAATACATTGGATTTATTGTTCTTTTAGACGTCATTTTTGAACATTACTTCTTTTAATGCTCAGAGGCTTTCTGTGAATTCTTCAGCACGTACCAGGATCCGTAGGACAAGAAATTGGGGAACATGCGTAAGGTTAAATTTTTTAATTGTCAACACTCATGGTATAGGACAGAGGGTACACAAAAAACAAATGAGTTACCACCTACATAACAAAATAATACTGTAATGGACCCGTGGGATACCGGGGTGGCTTAATCCGTAGTTTTTTCTATTCTAAAATACTAGGCTGTCATAGAATTAAAAGAAGTTCGTTATTTGCATTCAGTTCGGAATGCGGCCGTTGCTAATGGCAGCATGGCATGGTCATCTCGAAGCCGTAAAAACTCTCGTCTCTGCGGGCGCCTGTCTAGCTGCTACTAACAAGGTATGTTACCCTAATAATATATTAACATAATTTTATGTAACTGGAATGCCCACCTGGTGGTAATTGGTAATCAATCGTCATACATCATGAACTTGTTAGTAAGGTGGACCAATAACATCCTTACTAGCAACGTGCCATATCAGGCTGACCTCCACGTGGTTCCCTCTGAAAACCATGATGATAAATTCTTGATGAATTTGTCACGATGGGCTAACTGACCTGACCTCATGCTCATCTTGTCATCCTCCACTGGTTCCCCGCCAGCGTAAACCGTTAGCGTTTACAGTCCATAAAAAAATAAGAAACAGTACCATGGAAACCACGTTGTCATGTAATGCTCGTGAATTATTGTTGCCATTCCAGACTAAAATTTTATGGCCTACCGCCTTATGCGAATCATATCATACAAACGAAGTTGCTTGACGGCTGAAATCGGTGAGACTGAGGTATATAGGTGACTTTTCACTAAGTCTACCTCAGTATGAAAATATAATAAATTAAAACACTGTGTAACTACGTAACAAAAATTTATATTACTCCTGCCTCTTGTCATTTTATGACATCCTGGTCCTCCCGATTGGCAATGCGTGAGAGGTACTATTATGACGTGATATGTCCGTAATGCTCATGTGTACTTTATACAAGGCACGGTTACCACTTACCATCGAGATGGTCATCTGATTGTTTGTCATTGTAGTTGATAAAAAAATCATTACATTACAAACAAGGAAAATACTACGATATTTTTTATAGTCTGTTCAATAAATTCATTGATCAATAAAGTTAACAAACTTATTTCTTTTTGTATAACGAATTTTGCAAGTTATAATAACAAAAATGTGTAGATATTTTTACAGGTTATTTCTCAGAAATCAGTTCAATGTATTCGTAGATGATGTCAATATAATAATATGATTATTATTATATTGACTCCACAATAAATTAAACAAAATCCCGTAACTCTAACAAATTTATATGAAGAATAATTATATTTTTTGTATAAATTATTATGGAATTATTATGATACATAGAAGTGATCAATTATATTAATCGTATAACAATATCACTTATTTTGTTCATCTCTAGAAATACTAGGCTGTCATAGACTTAAAAGAAGTTTATTATTTGTATTAATACTTCGGACTGAAGCTGTTTTTGATCTAGAATTTAATACTTTGCACAAACACATAATTTGTAACTATTTTGTTTGTTAATGTACAATCCAGTGTTAAGCTGTTTTTATGATTAATACGTACAAACACATAGACGGAAGGTTATGTCCGATCACATGAGTGACATATTTCTCTTATTAATGTAATTGTAACTTTCTATACTCTGCCTATATAGGGAATTCTATTTTTATCATGACAGTTTATGGACGAAAGATTGTGCCTACTTGCGTACAAATTAAATTATTATACATATTCGCTTCAACAAAATATAATCCAGTAGGGACATAATTTCCTTCTTCTAAATTTATATTACGTTATTTATATAGAAATTTGTTACAGAGAAAAACATGTAAATATAACAGTATTATATTCTTATATATAATACTAGCTACTCACCCCGGCTTCGCACGAGTGTACATGTATTATACATATAAACCTTTCTCTTGAATCACTCTATCTATTAAAACAACCGCTTTAAAATCCGTTGAGTAGTTTTAAAGATTTAAGTATACATAGGGACAGACAGCGACTTTGTTTTATACTATGTATCTAATGATGATTATGAAGATGAAGAGTTTGTTTGTTTGTTTAAACGCTCTAATCTCAGGAACTACTAGTTCGAATAGATAAATTATTTTTGTTTTGTAGTCTATTTGTCGAAGAAGGCTTTAAGCTATATAACATTACGCTACGACCAATAGCAATGATACAATGAAAAATATTGCAAAAAGTGAGGAAATGAAACGCAGACGAAGTTGCGCGGATCAGCTAGTTAATTATAAGGAATATGTCCCTACATATTAGTAGTAATGCTGTAATGGTAGCAATGTAGTACATTAGACCACATGTTTTTCTGTAAACTGTGGTATAGTAGATACTTTTTATAGACCAACGTCATATTTATTATTCATCTAGCTGATTATTGACATTAATACGTAGACGAAACATATTAAATATATTCCTCAATTACTATATTTTAATACAACATAAACTACTCGTATGCTATGTATGCTATTTAATTTAATGTATGGTATTTATAACACGTGTTAATGTCAACAATATTGGCTAAATAAATGTATATTATCATCATAAAACAGTATACAGAATGGAGAAGTAAACTATTATTATATGTTATTTAATTCTCACCATTATTCGATATCTTAATTTAGAGTTTAGATCTTATCTTACAAATAAAATTTGAGTGTCTGTTTGTAATATTGAAATAACCGTTTTTTACTACATGCATATGAATATAAACACGGTACATGCACCAAAATAACAATTTTTACATTTTTTATTTGTCTCTCTGTCCGGAGTTTGTTCCGGCTAATCTCTGAAATGGCTGGACCGATTTTGACGGGACTCTTTTTGGCAGGTAGCTGATGTACCTAATAAGGATTAACTTAGGCTACTTTTATTTTAGAAAAATAAAGTTAAATTCCACGCGGACGAAGTCGTGGGTACAGGTAGTTATTAATAAAAAACAGTCGCGTAAATAACACTTTACAGTGCAGGTGGATATGCTGAAATAATTAAGTACTTGTGAAACTAACCTGTGTACATGCGTACGAATGTTTGTACCTATGTACGAAATATTTACCTACGCTAGGATCACGTCAGATCCATAATCATAAATTATTTACTGTAACAAAGTAAATCAGTAGGTAGAACACGTGTCGAGGTGTCTGCAACAGACGTTTCAATTAGGGTAACCAAGTCTCCCCATTTGAATGTACTTTCCGACAAACTATTTATTCCCTGCATTCAGTACTTTGATGTAGATTTTAAGCTTAACGCTGTATTTCATAATGAATATTAGAATGAGTTATTCTAATAGTGCACTTGTTTACGAGTAGATCAGGAGTCACCAAAATGTTTAATCACGTATTTAGGGATCACAAATGTTTGTGTATTTAAAAAAAATTGTTTCAAAACTGATTCATAATTGGTTTACAAATATATGATAACTAGCTACTCGCCCCGGCTTCGCACGGGTGTACCTGTATTATATATACAAACCTTCTTCAAGAATCACTCTATCAATTAAAAAAAAATCTCTTCAATATCCGTTACGTAGTTTTAAAGATTTAAGCATACAGAGGGACAGACAGCGACTTTGTTTTATACTATGTAATGATGATGATATGCGCACAAGGCACTGCACTACTTAATTATAATTGCATGTTTTTCTTACGAGTCATTTCAATTGAATTGATGCACCGCGCTCAGCACTATGTTTGCAATGATGTGTGCCGCCCCCTCTTCCCGATCCACCATCTTTATGGCGTGAAGAGCGCTACTATTGCTTATCCCAATATACACTACCTTTTTTATATAATTGAAATACAAAGCAAGCTGACGGCTCACCTGATGGTATGTGGTAACTGTCACCTATACGCATGAACAGCACTACGAACGCCACATCGTCAAAAGACGACCCTATGGTCGTCTTTGCACCAGTTATGCCCCATTGCTAACAATATACCATGTCAGGTCCACCTCCACATGGTCCCCCCTGAAAATCATCCGCCAATCCGAAATTCACCTTTAGCGCATACGGCAGCACTATTTCATTGACATCCCAGAAAAAATCACCCACTCATGCTTTATTAATCCAGATTTAATAATGAAAATATTTAAACGAACGACATTGTACAAAATTATTTATTTTGTTTGTAACAAATATTTATTTTATTCTTTATTGTACACACACATAGGAAAAAATCAGCAATGCAATAAATGTAATGTACAAGGTCGAGCTTAACAGAGCTCTTAAAAGAGATTTCTTCCAGCAAACCTAGAAAATGTTATAGGATAGTGTATTAACTAGAACACTCATATGTGTACGAAAAAAAGAAGTTATTAAAATAGTATTCTAATAATATTAACTATCAGAATTAATACACATACATAAACTATAAGACTTAACTTAAAATGTAATTATAATACATACAAATATAAGTATAAAAAATATTTACATATTTTGTGTAAATATTTAATTGTCACAGACAATTACAATTCTGTATCTTGTATAAATGATTACATTCTCTAATAAAGTCGGCTAAATACGATACAAAGGTAAAAGATCATTGCTCCGCCCCCATCGACAGGGAATTCATCCCCACACGATGGAACCTAAGTGATCTAGGACAGTGCGATTTCAGAGGAGCTACCTTCCACGTACACGTACAGATGGCCGAATGAAGTACCTGCCCAGGTTTTCTCAAGCGACTACGGCGTTGGGTTTTTCAAGAAAGGTATATTAAGGTTTCTTAAGGGTCTGCAACGTACACGAGACGCCTCTGGTGTTTCAGGCGTCCACAGGCTACAGAAAACGTTTACCATCTGATTGGCCGCATGCCTATTTTCCACGTTTGTAGTACAAAAAAGAGTCGATTTTTAATGTCGAACTTTTTGGTTGTCAACATGGTAAACCTACTCTCCATGGAACAGTGAAAGCAAATCTCTTAAGCCCACAGATTTGTATCAGACGTATCTTTCTAGGTGTGGATAACTGAAGGATTATCCACATTAGCAGGATACAAGTATATATATGGTGCGATATCTCAATTTAGTTATTTATGATTGTTAATTACTGATTTTATATAATGGATTTATATTATTTTGTTTAATTCCGCTTCCATTCGCTACCATTTTATAAATCTGCCTGAAAAAAGATTTTAATGTCATATAAAATACTTCCTTAGCAAAAACTTACTGTAAAATTGAAGAATTCGTTAATGACAATAATGTTTTTATAGAAAAAATTTAAATCCATAGCTTATTATCCATTGATAATATTATCTGATTACACTAACAATGAGTGCGTAGCGATTTCTATGTTGATTATGCCTCTTACTTGTTATACTGTAATTATTATATAAAAAAACATCTATTCAAAAGAGCTACACACAAGTTTCTTTGCTCATTCTTCTTGTGACGAATCTGCGTTCCGAATAAGTGGTAGAATTCAAATATGACTATTCAAAAGTGCTTGTAATGATTTTATTTGAATAAAAATTATTTCTATTTCTATTTCATTAGCATGTGTGATACCATAAATATTTGCGAAAAGCTGATCGGCGCTACTATTATATTATGAACTTCACTATCAGTGATCAAAATTATAATTTTTTATGTAATATTCGTTTATTATTGGTATATTATTATTAGATAGGTATGGTATAATGTGTAAGGTTTTACAATAAATATTCAGAGTCTGTTATAAATCTAGCAGAAAAAAGATTTAAATGTCAAACAAAACATTCCTGATCAAAAATGACTTAAAATTGAAGATCTAACGATAATAATGTTTTTATAATAATAAATCTATAGCACACAATATTACTGATTACATCTAATAATGAGCGTAGCAGAGCTTGTGTTATCGAGTACTTGTTATACTGATTATAATATAAAAAAAACATCTACTAAAAAGAGATACACAAGTTTTTTTTCTTCTAAATACATATTATACTTAGAAAAAATCCATGATACAAAAGTGCAATCATGAGTTTATTTGAATAAAGATTATTTCTATTTCTATTTCTATTTCCAAAATTATTTTGTGTAATTCCGCTACCAGTACCATCGATATTATAAATATTCAGTGCAGAAACCTAACCACCGCTAGCAGATGTGTTATGGCCATCCCTATTAGTGATCAAATTGCGACCGTTATTGGATCTACACTCATGTTGCGACACATGTTTCGCCCCTATGTAATGAATAGAGCTCGGATATAATTTCGAAGCCTTGTGGTGACTGTGCGGCGAGCAGACTGAAACTTGAGGTGAAATATATGTCACAATATGGGCGTAGATCCAACAATAGGCGAAAACGGATAGCTAATATGGAAGATCATAATGTTTTCAGTACTTGTTGTCTGGTCACTGTACAGCCTAGCAGTGGGCGCGTTTATCACTATCTCTACCTAGGTTTATTATCTCTATATTCATTACTGAAGAGTTAGTAAGAATATAAATTGACACAAAAAGACTTTGTATATCAGCCAGATTCGAATACGCGATCTAAGATATGTTAGTACCTAAACCAGTAGACCATAACGATCTCACTAATTAATTTCTTTCGACTTATTTGTGAACAGAAACACAACGACCTTCTGCAGTGTGCTTGTTCCCGGGGCTCGCTAGATGTTGCAGCGTATGCAATCTCACTAGGATCCAACGTACAGGGGTGCGACGCGGCTGGCGACGCACCGTTGGCGTTAGCATCTCGTGCTGGTCATGCTGCCCTGGTAGATCTACTACTGGAGAAGGGAGCGGACATTGATGCTATCAATAAGGTAAGAAAGAGAAATTTATAATTTAAAATAATTGTGGTTGAAGTTTCACTGGGCGACCACTAGTAATAATAACAGCGTCAAAATATCGGGAGCTATTTAATAATATTATCATGATAAATTACTAGTTTATATACTGTATTACTTACTAAGTGAAGTATATATATGCATGGCATTAGTTGTTTATATATATAAACGGTTTTTCAAAAAGTTAGAACATATATATCTTAATCAACCATCTTTAAAAAATCAAGAGTTAAGTTTTTGCCTGATCCTCTCATCGTTTACCATTACATAGATCGTAAGCAAGATTCCCACCATCGTGGTATATAAAACTGAATCTGTCACGTAACTAATACCGGAATGAATTGAATTGCCGGTGAGATTAAAAAATAATATAAAAAAGTAGTCTTAAGGAATTTTAATATTAGTTTGTTTAGTCTAATTGCTTTCAATAAGTACTATAGATTATTAAAGGTAAGGAGGTTGTATGAAAATGAATTAAAGAAGTTGTTTTAGAACATAGAAAAAAAATTAGGACTCTACTCACACTAAAATCGTCTAGACACGGCTTTAAAATCATGCAAAACCGCATACTATTTTTGCCACTCATAACTTCCTTACTCTGTCACTTCTGAATTCCTAGTAATTTATTATTGAAATTTGGATAGAATATATTTTTTATTAATCAATCATTTCATGCTACAAACAAAAACAAAATACAAATAATGTTACAATAAGAAGAAACACAATAAATACACTTAAAAACGTAAAATGCTATAATAAACTAAAATATAAATAAATTATTTACTACAGGGATATGAGTGGGTTGGTACTCAGTGAACTCAGTCTCGGTCAATGAAACAACTTTATTAGTTAGCTTGATAAAGTAAGAGAGCCGATTCGATACAGATCTGAGGCATTAAAGAATTAACAACTCGTTTAGTTATTTATAGGATAACTAGTTACGAGATCTACGGAGAGAAGTTCGACCCTTTAGTCATTAAACGAGTAATAGAATTTACTAACATTTCACAGTAAATGTAGAAATACACTATTTTTAATTATGCCTAAAAAAGAGCCAAGTCCTTAGGTTAATACCTCAAGAAAAAAGAAGGAATTTATGTACAGTGGGAAAAAAGAGAGAGACACTGAGATAACTACAAATAAAGATGAGTGGAAGAGAGATATAACGTAGACTCCAAATGATAGCTGATATACAAGTGGAAATTCTGAGATGATAGTTTATCCTTTTCTATTCACTTTCGTTTCACAACTCCGGTGAATTAAAAATTAATAAAAACGATTTTTATTTATGCGGTAACCCATAAATTTCTACAAGTTACGACCTGTTACGATTCCCGATAAATTCAGCTTTTATCGCGGAATCCGTTATCTCCTGTTCTCCTGGGAATTTCAGGAAATTTCCCAGCTAAATAAAGAATCAAATAGAGCAAAACCTTGTTTTCACGTGTCCCATGATTTTCAGATACATTTGATTTATCGGACAATAGATTTCCTTTAGTATTTTTTATTGTTTTTTCACAAAAATATCATTATATGTTTTTAACATCAAGGTAGTAAACTTTTACACTTTAATTTTAGCCAGAGAAAGGATTTCACATTGTTTTTTTTTTCCGGACTACTCTAATGCTGTTGGCCGCAGCTGGCCTTTACACCTTCACCGGACGTTAGGGGGCGAGTGCAGATGGCACTCCAAACCCGCGGAAGGACTTATGGAGCGGCTGAAGGCCAACTCCTGCCTGACGGATACGAATTTCACATTGTCTCTGCATGGGCACCACTGTTTCACCCATATTCACCGTTAATAATAACCTTCCTGTTTAAGCTATATTCTAGTGAAAATGGAGATATATGGTAGTAAAACTAACAAGTACCGAGGTATAACTTTGATGACGGTCATTGCTCCGACCGCATATAATTTAACAACATAGCCATTTTTTATTAAATCGCTTGTTAGTTCGTGATGCTTATTTGTTTTTATTACATGGTCTTTATTTCTCTTTATATCTCATGCGTAGTTCCGTATTCTGTGATGTTAATGATGAGCAAACAACAAACTCATCTTATATATAAAATTCACATGTCACAGTTTTCGTTCCCATACTCCTCCGAAACGGCTTGACCGATTCTCATGAAATTTTGTGAGCGTATTGAGTAGGTCTGAGAATCAGCCAACATCTATTTTTCATCCCCCTAAATGTTAGGGGTAGTCCACCCCTAAATTTTTTTTTTATTTAAAGGCAAAATAACTTTTGCCGGGACTGCTAGTATACCTATAAAGGCTATGATTACAACATTCCATCAAATTATCCGTCAACTTATTTAGCAATTATAAAAAACTAGCGATCCGCCTGCCTTCGTACATCTTCGTATTTAAAAAAATACAATATATTTTTTAAATACCGTAATAATTTTTTTTTTTGCTTTATCTGTATGATGTTAACATGAGCAAACAAAAACTCATCTTATATATAATGTCAGAAAAACTTCACATAAATCTAATAGCAGTTTTCGTTCACCATTTTTGGTAAATATTGATGACTATTACTATAAAACTTTGGTACATCACTTTGCTCTATTGTCAATAATTTCTGCACAGTACTCTAATATCTAAATTAAATGCAAAGATATAGGTGTAATAAGTCCTAAGATTTATTTTATGTATTTTTTTCACATGTTGGGTTACATTATCAAAATTTTTATACGAATCCTTAACAAAAATATTATATGGTCTATGTTCATCAGGAATAATGTAGAATTGCAATTGTAAAATACAAACAAACAAAAAATCAATTCTTTTCTTTATAGTATAACGTATATTAACAATATACATATATACGTACCTATAGGACGCGACGTAAAAAATACATTTGAACTGAAAAAACGTTAATTTATGCCGTTTAAAGTGAGTTAACATATGAAACCTATGAAATATTACCGGCTTCATATTGAATTATGAGAATAACAATGGGTACGTAATTTACATAGCGTCGAACATACAAAAGTATGCGCAGTTAATGGAAAACCGAGTGCTTTCGGGTGGGTGTTTAAAATCAATTTGGTGCGTTTTATCTGATTATTAAAGAGCAAATTGTTCGTTGAAATCGAAGAAGCTTCCGAGATTATATTTGGAGAGAATGATTTGACGATCGTTTATTTTGATATCGCTAATTTAACTATAGAACACGATCGATAATTTTTGAAACCAAAAAATAATAATATTACTAATATTACACTTTTAATGAGCCGCTATAGATACAACTTAGTAAAATGGGGTGTCGCGTCAAGGAAGACTAATTTTGTAGTAGCTACGGCTCACCAATTGTTCTGTTTCTTTGTGCTCATCATCATCCTGTACGAAGGAAGATTTAAAAATGCTGCCGAATACGCTGTAGTCGTGGCAACATGCTGGGGTAAATACAATTGCCATTAAAACGAAAAAAAAAATAATTACTAATTTTTTTTTCAGTTTTTGGCATTTTAAGTCTTCTTCTTTATAATATTAGTAAAATACGAGTAATAATAATCTTGGTACAATCCACACAGCGCCATCTAATCCTAAGCTAAGGAGAGTTTGTGTTATGGATTTTTTTTATAAATACATACATAATATACACAGGAAACACCCAGACAATTACACACAATCATGCTTATTAATGCATAAATCTTTGTACTGTGTGAGGATTTTAACTCACGCCCATCGGACAGCAGCTACAGCTATTTTTAATAGCTGACATATATATATATATATATATATATATATATATATATATATATATATATATATTTAAATACTATATATATATATATATATATATATATATATATATGTGTATATGTGTTAGAAACTTGTACAATTCCAAATACATAAAAATATAAAAGACAAATAAGATTTCTTATTAGCAAACTCAGGATTTTCATCGGATGTGAAAGAGCTTTCAACTAAAGCTTATTTAATCTCAGTGGTTTACCCACGTTGGGCTGTTGACACAAATCCTACCCTCACTTGTGTTTACATCGGTTACCTGTGACTAGTTCATGTTTTAGACCAAAGAACACAATTTCTAGACTATTTCCGGTACTAGTCGTAAGCCGCAATTTTGTCTGAAAATACTTTGTCACAATGTTATAGATTACTAACTGTTACCCGCGAGTTTGTCCGCGTAGAATTTAACTTTATTATATTAAAATAAATAACAAAAAAAAGTAATATAAGTTACTCCTTATAATATTAGCTATCTGCGAATGTCCTGTCAAAATCAGTCCAGCCTTTTCAGAGATTAGTAAAAACAAACAAAGAATCGGACAGCAAAATTTTTAATTTAACTTTATTTTATTAAAGTATAAATATATTTTCTTGAAAAAGTAATGTAAGTTACTCCTTATAATATTAGCTATCTGCAAATGTATGGCCTGTCATAATCAGTCCAGCCGTTTCAGAGATTAGTAAAAACAAACAAAGAATCGGACAGCAAAATTTTTAATTTAACTTTATTTTATTAAAGTATAAATATATTTTCTTGAAAAAGTAATGTAAGTTACTCCTTATAATATTAGCTATCTGCGAATGTAAGTCACGTTGAAATCAGTCCAGCCGTTTTAGAGATTATCAAGAACAGACAGATAATGTGACAATATATGTTTTTGAAATTAATATATTGATATGAGTACCGTATCATGCTTGTTACCACACAATAATTTACTTGTAGGTATCCTGTACACAATAATTTACCTGTAATTAATTTTTGATGTTCCATTTAAAGAAATTACTTAAATAAAACGAAAAAAACATAAGTAATGTCGTCCCATCCAATACGCAAAGGAATTTCCCCGAGGAATAGCCAACTAAACGTACATAGAATGCTGGAGCATTATCCCCAAGTATACAATTTAGAGGTCCATTTGCCAGTCCCTGCCGATAGGAAAACGATTATCCGCTCCATCTGTACACCGGAAAACAAATTTTTCGTTGTATTTTCCAAACACTATACATATAATAAAAATATATTTACTGTGTAAACTGTGCAAATTTACAGTCATATTCTCTTAAATTATTTCGTTCTTCTTATTAAATACGTAATTTAAATTACAGAGAATCTTACTAATATCATAATCAAGGATTAATACCATAATAACATATTCCTGGTGTAATTTATCACGATTGACTAACTGACCTGACTGTACTGACCTGACTTCATGCTCATCTTATTATCCCTCACGTGCCCCGCCAGCGTAAACCGTTAGCGCAGGCGAGTGTACCATTCTATTATCATCCATTAAAAATATACAGATAAATCGTCTATTCGATTACTACATATCAGACACAAGTGTAATTCCGTAAATGTGAGCAATACATAGTTTATTCTATATTTTTATATATCTACTCCAATATAATTGTTGGCCAGATGTACTATATGATTACTAATGATCATGACCTACAACTCTACGCACTAAATCAATGTGGGATAAAATTTTTGGCAACAGTAATACATAGTTCGACATAAAATTAATAATTTTGTGTCATTATGTGTGATCTGCGATACAAAAAGGTCGTAACCGTCAGTATGCAAAATTGTTCAGAAAACAAAACGGAAAGTAAAATTTTATAGTATATATGAAAGAATAAGACTAAGTTATAAAACCAACTAAGTTATAAAATAAACTGCGTGAAGCCACAACACATATTTTCTAGGACCAAACCAAGCGAGAAAAAAACGAATAGACTAAATAAATAAAACACAAAAAAGGGCAAGGATATTTAGTTTATGGACAATAAGTATAACTTAAAAAAAAGTATAAAAATGAAAAAGTCAGTTCAATACGCATTATTATAGATTTAAAATTATTTTTTTATGACTTTGTCAACAGGTGGGTCGCACAGCGCTCCATGTGGCTTGCGAAGGTGGCCACTGCACCACTGCTGCTCTCCTAATAGACAAGGGTGCAACGAGAGAGGCCAGGGACAACTCTGGCCGGACCCCACTCCATTTGGCGGCTGTCCATCGGCATACGGAGCTTGTGAGGGTACTGTTGGAATCACAGTGCCACGTGGACGCCACAGATAACGTAAATTTATAATATCTATACGTTATTTATGTAATATGTGTATATAATATCTACATATTTATTTACTAGTTGCACCTGCAACTTCGTCCGCGTGGAATATATCTTTATTTTTCTAAAATAAAAGTAGCCTAAGTCTCCTTATTACATTACCTGCCAATAAAAGTCCCGTCAAAATTGGTCCAGCCGTTTCAGAAATTAGCCGGAACAAACAAACAGACAGACAAAAATTGTAAAAAATGTTATTTTTGTGTATGTACCGTATTTATATTCATATGCATGTAGTAAGAAACGGTTATTTGAACATTACAAACAGACACTTCAATTTTATTTATATGTATAGATTAAATGAGAGGCACTGACTGAAAATCAGCGATGTGCAGCGTACGTGTAAACATTACGCTCACAGCATCAGCTGAGTCAGTCCCTTTTGCCCAGAATATGCAGTTTGAGGTACTACTGTTTACGTTTTATATGTAGTTTAAGATGCTCATTTTTTTATAGTTTTTATTTTACAAACAGTGTACGAACTCAAATATATGTATATGTCTTTTGTTCTGGCAATAAATAAATATTATTATTATTAAATAATATTTTAATGTTTGTTTGTAATTGACGGTCTCAGTGGTTCGCACCGCCTCATTTCCGATGTTCGAGGTTCGATTCCTCGCACGGAACTCTATCGGTCTTGGTTTTCTCTACTTTTTTTTATGAAAATTATATGCTATATAATTTTATAAAAATATATTGATGGGAGAAAGTCGAAAAAATAAATTCCATTATAGAAATAATAGGCGGGTCGCATAAACATGTTTAATGGGCCGCAAGCGCCCCGCGGGCCGCGTGTTGCTCATCCCTGATATAAATTACAATTAAGTTGTTATTTTTTGTTATAGAATGGTGTAACCGCATTGCAAATGGCATGCGCTCAGGGCTGTCACGGCATCGTGGAGCATCTCCTCGCATTTGGTGCCAACGTGCATTTACAAAACAATGTAAGATTCTTTATAAATATTCACTGAATATAATTAATTAATTTAGAGAATTGACTTATTGCGTCTATCCTAATAACAGGCTACTCGAACAAATACTCCAATAGACTATAGCTGTAAATAAAAACAACATATGCATCATGACTAGGTCCTTCACAGGACACTGCAAATTGAACAAACATATGGCAAACTTAGTACAATAAGTATTTGCAGATATTGCCAAACTGAAGAGGAAACGCCAATACACATCCTATGTGGTTATAGCCCACTCGAGCATAAACGAAATATCTCCTTTAAAAAGTTTACACTCTATCCTGAGGATATAAAAATCATCGCTCCTAAGAATATCCTTCATTTCTTGTCCCTGTAGGGTCTAAGCGAACTCGAAAACGGGCGAGCACAATAGGTCGCAGTGCTACAGGTCCAAGCACATGTCAATAGCCCAAATCTCCAAATAAAAAATCTTGCTTTTGCATTTATTATTTTTAAACTTTCGTGTTAAGACCTGGTTAATAATATAAGTAACATCACAATATATTATCACAATATACACTCAAAGATTGTCTTTACTTTGAGTAAAGTCATATGCAAGACTAGCTGTTCCGGCGACTTCGTCCGCGTGGAATTTAACTTTATTTTTCTAAAATAAAAGTAACCTTAGTTACTCCTTATTACATCAGCTACTATATAATACTATATTCATATCTATGTAGTAAAAACGGTTAATTCAATATTACAAACAGACACTCCAATTTTATTTATATGTATAGATATTGTACGAAAGTTATGAGAAAAAAATAACACCACTATATTATGGGAGAACAAAAGACTTTTGAAACAAAAAACTATGCTACAATATAGGAACTTTGCCTGTTCCATCACTGAAAAGGAGATGGACGAATATGGGAAAAAAAATTGTTATGGTTAATAATGTTGGACTGACAATTGTAGCTGTTGATTGTATATGAGCATGTATAATATAATCATTAAAATTGTAGACTACAGAATACACTGATGTATCGCGCTAAACTCAGAATCGTATCTTAATTTCATGCAATTTTCACTAATTGCTTGCTATAGAAGCATACTGTAACATCATCATCATCTGCTTCTTCCTTATCCCATATATTTGTGGTCAGCGTAATATGTTTTTCTCTTCCATTCATCCCTGTTCGCAGTCATCGCGTTATTTACTTCCTTTCTTACCCTTACTTTACTTCCTTTCCTTTCTTATCTTTCACACAGTCCATCCATCTCTTTTTCGGCCATCCTCTGCCCTTATAACCATCCACAATCATATGTAACACCTTCCTTAAAATATTATCTTCATTCCTACGCATTACATGTCCATACCACGATAGACGATTACTCTTTACCTTCTTTGACACCGGTGCCACTTTCATACTTCCTCTAATGTATTCATTCTTTATCTTATCCATTCTTGTCACACCACACATCCACCTCAACATTCGCATTTCAGTTGCATGCAGTCGTCTTTCATCCGTCGCCAGTAGCAAGCATATTGTAACAATAATTGTATAATTCCAATATATACACATAATATGTTACAAACAAAACAGTTTTTTCTACACTAGCTAACCCGCGCAAATTCGTCTGTTTTTTTTTTGCAATATTTTTCATTTCAGCTCCGCTCCTATTACTCATAGCGTAATGTATAATCTTAAATCCTTCCTCGACAAATTGACTATACAACACAAGAATATTTTTTGAATTCGAACCAGTAGTTCCTGAGATTAGTGTGTTCAAACAAAGAAACAAACTCTTCAGCTTTATAATATTAGTACAGATATGTATACAAATATATAAAAAAACTGCTGCAAATTAACTGCTTTTCACTTAATGTATATGAAAGTATATACAGGACTTATTTCAAAATTTTAATTTAATTTTGTCTGTCTGTCTATTTGTTCTTTCTTGTTAATCTCTGAAACAGCTGGACAGATTTTGAGGTGACTTACACTCGCAGATAGCTAATGTTATAAGGAATAACTTAGTTTAAGTCGAGAGTAACAGCTAGTATATTTATATATATTAAAACACCCACCTTAGTTGGTGAGACTATCAATACAAATTACAAGGGATGTAGGATGTCGGCTGATTTCTGCTAGGCATCATTATACAATATACGTAAATACACAACAAATAATACAAGATATACGAGGACTGAGGTCCCACACGGGTAAATATTTGTGTAGATATTACTTGTCTAATAATAAATACTTAATACGATACTAAGGTGAAGAGGGCACCATTCAGAAATATGATTCTCGGAAACCTATTTCAGAATTAAATTTATTATGCGTGACCGCGAAATATTCTGAGAAAATACTTATTTATTCAATGAATATTGTTAATAACTTATATACAATGGCAGTGACAACTCAGTCAGTTAAATCCTAACGGTTCGAGTGATTCAAATTCAACGGAGATTTCTTGATATTTGAAGGTCACGCTCTATTGTCCAGGGTTTCAAATCGACTTCAACATTGACTTGATATTTGAAAGTCAAGTTGGAATTAGTATAAATATCTATGTTGATATTCTACGCAGATAGAGTTTGTACATGGTAATGGTTCTCTTGGAAACCATAGTGATAAGTTCCTTGTAATTTGCCACGTTGGCTAACTTACCTAACTATGCTCATCTTATCATCCTCCACTGGTGCCCCACCAGCGTAAATCTTTAGCGCAGGCGGGCCGCTATCCATTAGGGGCCATTTAAGTAAGGGGCTTTGCTTATTTTGGATGTCATGGGGGTGGGAGAGTCTAGATTAGATGATGATTAGGTCATCGGCAGTCATTTACTTTTTTACACGAATGTCAACCCCCACATTGTCTTTGCTAAAAAAACAATACATTAATTGAAAAATGTTTACGTAAGCATGGGGGGAGGGGGTCAGAGCTATGCTTACATTTGCTGACAAGGGGGGTGGGAGGTAAATAATTATAATAAATCTGCTTAGGTAATACTTGATCGGCCCCTTATCATCCGTTAAAAAACGTAACGGTTGCCACTTCAATAACAACTACAATCAGTCAACATTTTTGACATTCCAATATCATAAATAAAAACTATATACAAAGTAAGTAAGCTATTTCCCGGCAAGCTTTCTGCACAGCTTACTTTCTTAGCTGTCATCCGGTTTAAAGGGACTGGCATAAGCCCTTAGGCTACTACACGAGTTACGTGAGTAGATAAGTGACGGTTTCCATTACCAACAAGTGGGCCAATAAGAATTTATAAATGTTATGTTGGTTTTCTACCGATAAAGGTTCAAAATGTGGGAGATGGAATGAATGGACTGTATGCGTGATATAAATCAAACAATGGATAGAAAATGGTAAATACTTATAATGAAGATACAAACGGTTGTAAGACAAAAAGTGACAATAAAAAACATGACAATTCTATAAAAAAATATATTCTAACTTGATAGAAATAGAAATAATCTTTATTCAAATAAACTTAATATAAACACTTTGGAATAGTCAAGTTTTTTTTATTCTACCGATCATTCAGAATGCAGAATCATCACAAGAAGAATGAGCAAGAGACTTTCAATGTTGCTCTTTTAAATAAATATTGTTTTAATTATATTTACATTAACAAGAATTAGGCATGGGACAATCAACATAGAAACCGCTACGCACTTAATCTTTGTTCAATCAGATAACATTGTCAGCGCTATGAATTTTAAGTTAGATATTTTCTATATATTATTTTTATAATATTTTATAAGACATTTGAATTTTTTTTCTGGCAAATTGAGATAGAAAAATAATCATATAAAAATGTGCAAAGAGTTTGCAACAGGGCCGTTTCTTTATTTGCCATTCCCACTATATAATATGCTGTACTTATGTTATGGTGACCAGGTGGGCTCATCAGCTCTACATGCTGCATGTGCTGCCGATGCCACCCACATCGTAGAACTGTTGCTGGCGCGAGGTGCTGATCCTACCGTCACTGATCAGGTAAATTTATGTGAAACACCATTATATTTTCTAGTATCGATACTAATAATCTTACCATCAGGCGAGCCGTATGCTTGACTTGAGAGGAATAACTGAGCTAATTTACCCGTTATACCGTCATATCTTGTGATATGAATTTACATTTATGTTTGTTTGTTTATATATTTTTTATGTGAACGTATAGTAGATTTAGGATTGCTAACTGTTTTGACAAAAAAAAAGTATAAACTGGTTTGAATAGGAAAAAAAAGTATTAGGAAAAAAGTATTTTTGAAATTCTATGTTTTTAATGCTTTAAAAACGTATTTTGTATGCTTTTCGCACATGCTAACATTTATTTGTTATCTTTAAAGGTCGCAAAGCTTGTTTGACAATGAACATTTAAATTTAAATAAAAAAACAATTCGTTTTTAATCTTCAATTATAAACAAAACTAGCGGATCATTTTTGTACAACTTCGTCGATAGAGAGTGACATTCGTGAGCTGTGACAAATGTCACACCTCACAATTGACATCTAACACTTCGTTCAGTAATCAGTAATCAGTATAACCCATAATGAGTATTTTGTTTTACGCATCACAGTAAAGGTTGAAAATAAAGTATTTTTGCATACTTTATTTAGTAGGATACGTTAACCTGTTAACCGGGCAAGACGCATAAATGCGTCAGGAGTAAATAATATCAAGTACTCGTACCTGATATTGTTTACTGATATATGTATAGGAATACGTCCTCGAAAGTTTGTTTGCGCCCTGGAATGTATGAAGCGTATATTTTCGTCGTCGTGCGAATTATAATAATAATAATCTCAGGACAATTCACACAGCGCCATCTAGACCCAAGTTAAGCTAGCTAAAGCTTGTGTTATGAGTACTAGACAACTGATACAAATACATAGATATTTTTTTATAAACACATACATATTATACTTAGAAAACACCCAGACCGATACAAACAATCATACTCATGAATACAAATGTTTGTGCCGTGCGAGGAATCGAACCCGCGACCATCGGTCGTAAAGCGTATGCTAGACCGCTAGACCACCGAGGAATTGTAGTGTAGCATTATGTATTGATAATTGTTTTAAAATATCATCATCATCATCGCACATAGCCCCAAAGATCTCCACGGAAGACGTCCAAAATATATCACACAGAAATAAGTTTTGAATTTTTATATGTACCTATTGTGTAATTCTATTTTGTTTACGTGCTTTTACTTGTTTTGTGATTCCTCCCTTATTACAAAAAATCTGTTAAAACTCGGAAAACGTGATCTCCACGACGATCGGTCCTGCGCTGCTCGCATCCTGTCACCGTACAATTACGTTCCATTTTACCAGCCTTCCTAAAAATCTTGACCAGATCGTCGGTCCACCTTGTTTTAAAATATCTCACACAGAAATTAAGTTTTGAATTTTTATATGTACCTATTGTGTAATTCTATTTTGTTTACGTGCTTTTACTTGTTTTGTGATTCCTTTTGTCTTCAAAAATATTAATAAACTATATATGTTTATAGTTTTTCATCTATTTTATGTACAAATAAAAATATGAAATGACGGTCTCCGGGCGTGACGTATTGACATGTCCTAGCGAAACGAAATAAGTCATAAAAAATCTATTGGTAACAACTATATTATGTAGTTATATCGTTAAGTTTCCTTTTTTTCTATAATATAATACACATTACAGTCTAATCTAGTTAATATAAATCTAAAACTATATAATATCTAAAAGATATATTTTTAATAAAAAAAATAACCACAATAAAAAATATTAGGGGACACTCGGATTTGAACCGGGAACCTTTCGATCTGCAGTCGAATGCTCTACCATTGAGCTATATCCCCATATGATGATATATTTGTAATTGTTGGAACAGTTGTATTCTATATTTAAAAATATCCAAGTACATTAATATAACAAGGGGATTCCCCACGATTCATTTCTGTACTGCATATATAATTGCACAGTTCACAATAAATTTCGTATGTTTGCTCATAGCGTCAAGTGTGTTCTTATAAAATGAAATGAAATTATTTTATTCAATTTGTTTTCGAAAGGTGAATATTCTGATTATTCTACTAAAACAGATGTCGGTGAAACGTTTATTCAGTTTTCAGATATGAGCTATCTGAAAACTGAATAAAGACAACTGAATAAACGTAATAAAATAGTTTATGGAATTGTTTTATCCTACCACATACATACACGACACCGTCCTCGTTGGCGAAGACGATGACCTGAACAACACCATCAAGCGCACCGGGGCGCCTAAACTTCATGACAAACTAATGTTTTTATTGACAATGAATATGACGTAATATTCTCAATTTTTATATTCACCTAATTGTTTGTGTGTTTTCTAATATAGGTTTTCTATATATGTAAACCTTATAATAGAGGCATTAAGGTACATATTGTTATAGTTTTATTTCATACTAGCTGTTGCCTGCGACTTCGTCTGCCTTTCCGTCGTTTTTCGTAAAATAAGTAGCCTATGTCCTTCCTCACGATTCAGTGGTTTTGATGTGTTTTCCTAATATTTCCCTTCACTGCTCTGCTCCTATTGATCGTAGCGTGATGAAAAGTATACCATAACCTGCCCAGGAGTATGAACAATAATTGTTCCAAGTTTTGTTAAAATTCGTCGAGTAGTTTTTATTTCTATAACGAACATACAGACAGACAGACAGACTGACAGACAGATAAAAAATTTACTGATTGCATTTTTGGCATCAGTATCGATCACTAATCACCACCTGATAGTTATTTTGGAAATATATTTCATGTACAGAAATGACCTCTCTACAAATTTATTATAAGTATAGAAGATTGATGACGATGATGAAGATATATATAGGCAAAAAAAAGTACAGGAAAAGACTTGGAATACAGAGATGTGTATATTAAGAACAATTGTCAAAACATTCAAGTATAAACAAAGTGTACAATAAATTAACTATAAACTTGAACAAATTACAAATTTAATTAATAAAATTACATTTCTGATTAGCCAGTACAGTACATATACAAGAAATATAATAATATATTTTAAACGAATGAAAAACGAATGAATACCGCGGCTTTGATTGACTGTACTAAACTGGTTATGTCAGCAAGTGTGGGATTTCCCAAGATATATGTATATATATATTTCTCGGTGATTGTCTACGTAACATTGGTAAACAAGGCCAAAGTATTAAGTATTTACACTGCATAGGTAGAACAATCTGTATCAACTTGTTTGAGATGGTGCAGTTTTTATGAAAATATCTTCACGACAGTAATCCGACATGGAGTCGCCAGAGAGATTGTAACGCTAACGGTTTATGCTGGCGGGGCACCAGTGGAGCAGGAGGTTAGTTAGCCCATTAGCCCACGATGGTTTCCAGGGGGAACCGCGTGGAGGTCGACCTGACATGGTACATTGCTAGCAATAAGATCATCAGTGGACATTACTAACAATCCCCTCCCCCTCAATACTTGTGTTTGTACTACCAAAGTCAGTCGGAATTATAAATTGATACTAAGATTTATTTTATTTTTATAGTATATAGGACAAACAAGCTTACTTTAGTTAGTTAGGCACTAATGCTAAGTGATAATCGTCGCTATGTACATGATATGCACAACGGACATCACGTGACACCCGCGATACTAATCATTCGTTGCCATTCTAGAGGCATGCCATGCCTAAGATGTCATAGCATAGGGGACAAACTAGCATACGTCCCACCAAATGGTAAGCGGTAACCGTCGTCAGTATATATATGCACTATGGACATCACGTTATCACGTGACAGCCCCGATACCACGTATGCGTTGCCATTCTAGAGGACTAAGATGTCATGCCTCTTATACTGTGATTTCACTACGTAATCTTGCTACAACCGAAACAGCTTACAAAGCAAGCTGCTTGGATGGTAAATTAGATCAGACTGAGGTAATCACGCACACGACATCTTACTAATAGCACAGATAACATATTATTACATACTAATAGTATAAACACGAAATTTTTGAGTACGTATAGATGGATGAATATTTGTTACTCTTTTACTCAAAAACTACTGAACGAATTTTGATGAAAATTTACAGAAATTAGATGCCTTATACATCAGAATATGGGCACAACTAATTTTACAATATATCTCTAGTTAAAATAAATAGATATTTTACAATAAAATTTCAGGAAATATCTGTAATAGTAGTTATTTAACTTATAGGTAATATACCTACAGAGATTTGGCAGCTCCATCTAATATTAATGGGTTGCGGCATATTAGCACTCCGCGGCGATAACCCCGCGAGTGTTCCTTTAAAATTTCACGCGCTCCACTCCCGTACAAAATTCATACAGCGCCGAGTAAATTGGATAGAAATAATGCGAGCCAGCTCCTCTTTGAGACATTCTGTAATCTTGTTAAACAATCAATTAAAGTAACATTTAATGTTTTCTGGAAATACGAATTTTGAACGAAATGTCTTTAGATTCTTCTTGCTTGCAACCTAGGATTATAAATTCGAGTCTACTCTGATTATTATTAATCATCTTTATTCAAACTTGATGTATTCGTGAGCATTTTTACATCAGCATTTTTTTTATCAAATCACTTACCAAGTAGCCAAGAATAAACAAGAAAGAGATTGAGCCTGTTGCTCCTTTAAACGGATATTATTCATACTTTACATTCTTAAGATTTTGTTATCATCATCTGCTTCTTCCTTCTCCCATTCATGTGTGGTCGACGTAATATGTCTCTTACATTCGTCCCTGTTCGCAGTCACATTATTTACTCCCTTACTTGCCATATCATCTTTCACACAGTCCATCCATATCTTTTTTAGCCTTCCGTTATAACCATCCATATAATATAAATTAAAAAAGTACAAATATTTTTAATATTATTACCACCGGCAATGAATGTACTTTCTATAGATTTCTTTTTAAAAAAAATAATTGATACATTTGTTATAGTTGACATTTATTATTTTGTTATAAATAACGAATACCTTAATGGTTTTTTTATGTACACCGGTTTGTTTGTCGAAAGAAGAATATAAAATTGCAACCTGTATTATGCAAGTACCAGGAGAGCAAAACGACATGAAGGTTGTTTGTATTTAAATAATTCAACAAGCGGGGATGCTCTACTCGTACCTACAAACAAGGACGCTACGTTACTAGAACGAGAAACGATGTCACTAGGAAATAGGAATTTCTATTTTTGTAATGCATATACAATTTAGTTAGACTTTTATAACAATATGATAGTTACCTATTAAGACTCGGCACAAAGTCGTCAGTTTGATATCTCTGTCTCACCTGTTTTGGCCTTATGCTCGCTTTGTAAGTTAAATTCCATATTAAAAGGAGTGATACAAGTATGCTAGTTAAATTGCAAAGTAAGGAGCCATAATACATTTTCAATGATATTTTAAATATTGTATACTATGTTATTTTTTGAAAGATCGAATGTACCCTAATAATTTTAAAAATATACTAGTGGAATTTTCGAAGTTGTTCAATAGAATGAACTGGATAGGAATATAAAAAATATCATAAGATTTAAATGTTTTATTTGTAGGATTTTGAATTGACAATAGAATAGGATAGAATAGAAAATCCTTCGTTCATTTAAACTTAAATTTGAGGCCTTTTTTTAATGTCAGAAAGCTGTCTTGTTGCTCTTTTAAATAATTGTTGGAACTTTATATTCTTAGTTAATATATGTAAATACGAACTACCACTTATTCATTAGAGTCAAAATATTAAATAGATAATTAACTGATTATTTAATCAGTATCATTGAATAAAATTAAAATCAGTGGTAGTGATTAGAGCAGACCGTCCCTAAAAGCAGCACGCATTCACGTGTTTGATGATCACGAATGAGCCAGCCATAATTGCACGACAATGTGATGTTATAATACTGTTCATATACGTATATCGGCGACGGTCACCACTTTCCATCAGTTTGACCGTCAGCATATCTGTCATGCTAGATACATCAGAAAGTTACCGTCAAATGAATTTACACTCTAATTACATTCGATTCTGAACTCGACAATCCCCTTACTAATTGGAACATCGATATTCCATTCGGAACAAAATTTGCATAAACTCGATTGGCAATGGACGAGAGCATGCATTATTGAAAGGTTGCATGGCAGCTTTGTTTTTTGCGGCTGCGGCTTTATCCAGCTGTTGCTTTGTAAATAAATTCCAGTATCTAGTATTCCGGTATTTTTAATTCCCAATCAGTATTCTACTTCAAAGGCTTGTTTCCTAATAAACATCCGGTTATTTCTGTTGCTTTCTTTTATTGCAGTTGTAGAGTATTATTTTTGTTTTTGGAATTAAAAACAAGCTCACGGCCCACCTGATAGTAAACGGTATCCGTCTCTATATAGCTACATGAACAGCTACGGACGTCACGCTATCATGTGACACCCATGATACCACTAATGCTTTGCCATTCCAAAGAATTAAAATATCATGCCAATTATCTTGTAATTTAATTGTCTAATCTGCACCCTACAACCGAACCACAGCTTACAAAGCAAGCTGCTTGGCAGCTGAAATATGTGAGAGTTAAGACTGAAATACCCACATCTGGTATGATATGTTATGCCAATTATGAACTGATATTGATGATTATTCTTTATTCGAATTATTGTGTAATGTGTAGTACAGATAAGTATAGATTACAATCTCAATTTTTTAAGTCCAAAAACACAGGATAAGGATTTAAACGGGGTCAAAGTTTGTGCAAACTAACTACTCATATAATAGCTAATATGATAAAATATATAATTTGCTATTTCCCTTTAGAAACCATCACGGTTATATTAATACAGTATTTATATTTTGTCGAATTAGACATTATTTTGAGGAAGTCCATTTCATTCCTAAATGGATTTGTAATATTTCCTTTAACTCCGCTACTATTAGCATATGTGGGACAACAAACATTTGGAAGCCTAATTCGACGAGTCTGACTAAGTTGTAATCTGATCGATAATTCTAGTCCACACTCTATTCATTGTCTGATTATACCTCTTTTAGAGGTAAATTCGTTTCGCAATATAGTTGTAGCTGCAATAACGGTCGGAGTTTGATCACTAGTGAGGTAGGTCGTAACGCTTGCGGTAGTGGTGGTCAGATTTCCACATGGAATGTTTTAATTAAATTAAATAAATTACAAATTAATTTAGCAATATAGAATTTACAATACATTACAATATATACAATAGATATAAATGAGAAAAAACTATATAGGTACGTGTGTATATTCCTTAAAATATCAAAATTAATCTCCACTAAATTTACTAATACTAAATATGTATCATGAATAATTCTCTGTGTTATATATACATGTACTTACTAAGCCCTTACTCAAGGGAAATCAAAATAAGCTTTGATGAGTACATTATTTTGATTCACCTGTAATTTTAAAGTACTCGCAACTATATAAGTTTAACAGTAGGTAAGTACGGGGGGAGAAGTGAATTGTTGGTGCTGTGGACTAATGAACCCATTATTAGCAATGTGCCATGTTAGGTTGACCCCCACGCGGTTTCCGGAAACCATCGTGATAAATTCCTGGTGTATTTGTCATGATGAGGTAACTGATCTGACCATACTAATATTATCATTTTCTAATGTATTTATTATTATTGTACTATTATTTGTATATTTAGTAAGTGTGTGTATGTCTTTTTTTAAGTATATATTAGAATATTGTTATCTATTACAAAGCCTCGAGCATTATCGTTGCCCGCTACCACCACCTACCACTTCTGTCGCAGCGTTAGGTTGGCTGAAAGAGATCTTTTGCAAAGATAAGCCCGCCCTTACTCACATTTTTGTATAACTGTCTTTGTTTATTAATGTAATAATATATAATGGTGCTTTCGAATTTGAGTATTATAATAGTACATTTATAGATTTTCTAGAAGCTAAACCATCGTCAAATCTTTGTTACTTAATTTGGTAAATCAGTTAATTAGGAATTAAATATGTATTGTTGTGATTCATTTTGTATCATCACAAAGTTTAGTTAGTTAGTTTAAACAGATTTATCCAATATAGTTTATTATTCATAGAACTTATTATATCAGTCGAATACCTATATTTTCTATATAAATATATCATGAATATTAAAACTGGTATTTTCTGTTTTTTTTTTACATTTTAACAACAAGGAAAAAGGAAAAAAATGTTAGGCCAGTCTCCTCTGATCTGACTTACCTAAACGTTTTTAAGAAGATCCTTCATGACATTTTGATTCATAAATGTTACTGAACTTTGTTAATTATAAATATAATCATATATAAAGTTGTCCACGTTTTTATTATTGTACCAAATACATTGGTGTCACATACTCGTATATATTTACTTATTGGACTGACTTACTTGTAACGTATGCTCTACATCTTATTAATTAATATTATGGACACGAAAGTTTGTGAGTATGAATGGATGTTTGTTACTCTTCCACGCAAAAACTACTGAACTAATTTTGATGAAACTTTACAGTAATATAGCTTATACATCATAACATATAGGCTATAAAATTCACGGGGGTGAAACCGTGGGCACAGCTGGTGGAAATATAATTATTTTAGTAATAACTTAAACTGATCACAATAAAGATATGGGAATTTCAATATAATTGAAGAATACAATACCTTCTACAAGTATCTGCCGGCCCTAGCACAGACGAATCTTTTATTAACAAAACAAGAATTAATCACTCAAACTCAACAAAATAGAATAAGGCAGTAATGTTAAAAATACGTTGATTAAAAATGAAGCGCAATATTTTAGAAAAGTTTTGCCGAGTATTTGAATAAACTCACTCTGTGTAAGGCTTTTAAGGATAATATTTGCGGAATTAGCCTGACATTAAGACCACTTCCAAGTTTCATCAGCGACGGACGCGGCGCCGGAGGCTGTATTCAATTATTTACCACGCCGGTTAAGTATTCATAAAACATGCCAAGTGTGAGTGATATAATTGCGTTGAGTTCCACACATGCTTCCGTAAGTATAATACATAAAGTAAGTAACATTAATGGTATACGCGCCACCTCTAAGTAAGGGAAAGGCTTCATCGTATATATATGTTTATATTTTTATTTATTCTTTGCACACAAAATTGTATTCTTGTCGGACTTTAAGCTATCTTTTGTTGTTATTTTTTATACTCAATATATGTACCTAAATTACCTACAATATATTAAAATTATAATATGTACATTAGAAAAGTAAGCGATGTGACTCAACCAGGATATGCTTGACAGAACTGAGAAATGTACTTTAATTACCGGTTAGCTGAGTTTATTGTCACTTCTCAGTTCGAAAGCACTCCGAAATGACGGTAGATTTGTTCGTTTTAAAAATTTTCTGTTTTTGTGGGTAACGGGTTAGTTGGTAAGCGGTTTTCTATCCTAACTGTCCTCTCTAATGAAAATGGTATGGTACATCCGCCTGCGCTAAGTATACGCTGGTGGGGCACCAATAGATGATGATAAGATGAAGGCAGGTCAGTTAGTCCACGTGACAAATTCATCAGGGATTTATCACGATGGTTTCCAGGGGAAACCACATGGAGGTCAACCTGATATGGTACATTGCTAGCAATGGGATCATCCGTCCACATTCTAACAATAAAACACCGCAGTCTGTGATACATGTCATAACGGAATACCCAATGTAAAAAAAAACACTTCTAATATATATAACTGGTTACAAAAATGGTACTCAATCACGCTCGTTTATTTAGTGGTCACAGTCTCCCGTGAGTGTGGCGGGGGGCGCTGCTGAATCCCCACCCGAGGGCTTCAGACGAGCTGCAAGAGGCTCCTTCTCCGCCATCTTGGATTTACTCACCGCCACTACTAACTTGGATCAACGACAGGTAACATTTATACCAATTATGTAAAAATTTATAAACGTATGTATGAATGATACCACTATTTTTTAATGGATGATTATGGACTCCATGGACTATGAACAGTTTTCAACGTTAGATAGAATGATTCAAGAGGAAGGTTTATATATATGACATGCGTGTTATAGTATAGAACAACTCAATAAATTGTATGAAAAAGTGAAAGGGAAGAAGCTATATAATAATAAATGGGTAATACCACTATTTAGGTCTCAAAAAACCAGCTTCAGTCGCACTATTAATGATAACTCATAAAAAACTTGTAAGATCTTGGTATGAGATGGTGACAATCAAACAGAAGCCCTATCTAATGGTAAATGGTTACCCTAGCCTATATGAGTCTAATAAAAAACCACACCAAAATCGGTAGAAAAAAAGTATTGAGAAATAAAACACAAAAAATAGAGTGGTTTTGAGCACATCATCATTGTTTCTTTCGGTTCAAATAAAATTAAATCGTAATGAAATTATTTTAATACCAGAAGTCAAATATATAAAAATGGTTAAATTACTATAATTAAATATGATATACATACCTATTTTAAATACAGTCAAAATTAAATGGTAATGAATAATAATGATAAGTATGTAGGTATCACATACACAATCACAAAAAATTTGAAGTCTATTATGACAAATAGTCCATTAAAAATTGTGAGACCTAATAGACAATTAAACCCAGAACCTAATTTATGTAACGCAATTTACCACTACGCTACAGAGTTCTTTATTATTAAATATGATCAGTTGTAAAAAGCTAAAAAACTAACGTAGGGAAGTATCTTGTTATAAAATATATTGTCGTATAAGTGATTCTTTATATATTTTTGTAATTTGAAACGTAAAATGTAATTATGAATTGCGAAAACACATTACTCTGACATTTTAAGCTGTATGCTTACCGCTCTACGCTCACAAACGAAATATAAAGAGAACATAATATTGCTCTTGTTGTCTATTTACATGTAACTAAAATATCTATAAATAAGTATATATGAAAGGAAAATGATGGAAAAACTTTTTCGTTTTACCAACTCTGAACATGGTCTTCAAGTTGCTGGATTTCCATTAAACACCTTTTTGGCGGGATTTGCCTGTCCCAGGGCAGAGATAACGTAAGACTATAGCCCAGGGCGAGTTACAAGATCTTACTTGAAAACTGCCTATTTGGGACTTTGTTAAAACTTTTTGAGACAATATATTGCGGTCTTATAATACAAAGATGAAAATATGCTATTTTATTAATAACTAGCTACTCGGCCCGGCTTTGCACGGGTGTACATGTATTATATATATAAACCATCCTCTAGAACCACTCTATCTACTTAAAAAACCGCTTCAAAATCCGTTGCGTAATTTTAAAGATTTAAGCATACATAGGGACGGACAGACAGCGACAGCGACTTTATTTTATACTATGTAATGATAATAATAAATAATATTACACTTTATTTTGTAATAATATAATTGCATTATCAGCATAGAACCTGAAAGTGCGATTTCAAATAATATTCACACTCAAATTAACGAATGAATTACCAGCTGAGATTTTCTTTACAGACTACAGCATGAAGTTTTTTAAAAAGGGTTTCTTAAGGGTCGGCAACACGTACGTGGCACCAGTGGTGTTTCAGACGTCCATAGGCTGCAGTAACCGATTACGATCCGTTATATTCTGTTTTTTCTGTTAATCTTATTGTGTTTTTGTATTTGACCCTAATAAATTAGTGCTGGTTGGTAGTTTGTATTCACACGTTTCGACTTGTGAAATGTGAACTTAAGGACTATTTAAAAGAGCAACACACAATTTTTTTCCCTCATTCTTATTGTGATGAGACAGCTTTCCGAATGAGCGGTAGAGTAAAAACAAATTTACTATTCCAAAGTGTTTATATTAAGTTTATTTGAATAAATTATTTTCTATTCTATCCTGTATACTTGTTAGTCATTATTCGGGCTTAAAAACAATGGTTCTATATATATGCAAATCAGTAATATATTTTTATTGAAAATCGGCAGTAAGGCATTTCAGGTATTTGTCACTGAATGTCAGTAAAAATCACTAGGTAATTGCCACTTCATATAAAAGGAACCCAAATTGGGTTTTCTATACTGAGCAGCTAGTTCGAACAAACTTTTCTGAACTGCTCAAGTTTGAATGTGGCGTGCCGCAAAATGTTTAGCCATGATTTATTGAACGTCAATAAACTTTTATATTAGCAATTATAATAATTAGATACTTTCCGTTTTCACTTGTTATGGAGTTGGTTGGTAATGTTTTACTATTGTGACTTGAATAGCAAGTAAGAGGATGGCCAATCGGATGATAAATGGCAACAATCTCATACATATGAACATCACCACGCACATCACGTTATCAAGTAACATACGTTATACATTTTTATATATAAATAATATGGCAAACTACTATCATGTGATATCCATGATATCACTCATGAGTTTTTCATTCTGGAGGACTACGATGTTATGACTCTTATTCTAACTACACTGTCTTATGTCAATGTTCAACTAAAAGCAACTTACAAAGCTGCTTAACGACTGAAAGAAATATTCATGCAGACGAGTTCTTACAGAACTTATCTTGGTAAAACACACAGATACAGTACAGATAAATTAAACCTTATATTATAAAGAGAGAGCAGATTTATGTTGAAGAAAACAAACTCGGGAATCACAAACCTTCAAGAAAAGAGTTTATTCCTGCCTTAAAAGGGCGGTAACTCACTTGCAATTCTCCTAGTGTTGTGTGCTCATGTACGGCGGTAATTAATACCACAAGGTAAGCCGCAAGCTAGTTTGTCCCTTGTATAATAATAAAAATACCAATTTGAGAAGTTATACCTCTGTTTGAAACGTAAGTCTAGTAGTAGTCTATATAATTTAAGAAAATTAAATAACAAAATTATTAGTACCTACACAAAATTTTTTTACGGACGGAGAAGCTAGGGCGGACTCTAATATATCTATAAAAGGATAAATCCTTCAGTCACGACGCCCAACAAAAGCGGAGCTAGATAAAGGGAAACCATGTTAAAGCCATTCTACTTTTTATCGGGGAAGGGAGAGCTCCACCCCATTAGGCGAGCTATTCCATTAGTCCTAACTAACACAATATCCGCTCAGTAAAGCCTCCAGTTAACTATACACTCGGTACAAAAAGTGTCGTTTCCGGGGAAACGGGCGGTACAACGTTTATTGTTCGGACAATTGGATACGATACTCGGTTTTGTTCAAGAGCGTACGATGTTATAGTTATACAGTGTAGCTTTGTTTGAGTTAATTTGAAATTCTGGTCGTGCTTCCGCATTCACTGGATAGAGTTCGACCTTAACATTTACAGAGTTCGACCAGTACCAATGTACCAATAGGTATAACAAGAGCAAACTTAACTATTATTATTTTCTAAATTTTTAAAATGTTTTTTATATGAATATAATTAAAAATAATTTAAAATACAGTCATAAATATTATATTATAATTTTATACATTCACTTGTGGCGTTTCTGAACATACGCTGTCGTAACGATAGGTCTGTTCATAGAGACCTGTCGTTCTGAAATTGTGTACGATATGCAAAGCTCCGTTCAGAATAGAGAGAATATTTTCCTGTATTTTGTATTATATGTTTAAATTACTTGTAAAGGTTTATGTATTCATTGAATAACACTTTTAAAAGGTTATACATGAACACTGAACATTATTGAACCACCTAATACAGAGGTCTAAGTACACCTATAATATGTCAAACACTTATTGTCTGTGATCAGCGCGACTGTTGACTGGTAGAGAATGTCATCAGGCATAAAGTGCGTCCTGTATACAATTTTATACACAAAAGAATAATATTTTTCTAAGCATTATTATCACGGACCTTCACTGTGTAAAAATTTGACTATAATCCCAGATTGATGAGATATTGTCAACTATCAACTTTCTAATGATTCTAACACATATGCCAAGTACATTTTGAATGGATTTAACAGAGAGCACACCTGCCAATATAACGCGGATTATTTGGCCTTGTTTCCATCGTCGAGAAATCTGAAATATAAATGTCAAAGTTGTTTTTATGTCGCACTCTCAGCTTTTGTAATTATATATGTACATATCGAAGGTAATATATTTCTAAGCTGGGCTAGTAATCCATCAGCCCACGACGCTTTCAAGATTTAAATTATCATGTATAGGTATACCTTTTTATGTATTCTGAATAGACTTGTCTTTAATAATTTAGATGGTAGTGAAATCACTTCTACTCGACCTGCATCTTTATTGAAGGGATCTCTATTTTCTTTGGTACAATAAAATACAGCTCATGTTATTCCTTAATAATAACGTAGATTCAGTCGCAGTAAAATAAACATTTTTTTTAACCAAACAGTAATTCAGTTTATCCTGTCTTATTAATATTGTAACGGCGAAAGTTTGTGAGTAGGGGTGGATATTACTCTTTCACCCAAAAATTATTGAATGGATTTTATGAAACTTTACAAAAATATAGCTCATACATCAGAATAACTATAAATTTCAGACGGATGAAACCGTGGGCACCGCTAGTTATTATATATTACTGTAATAGCATATATATAAATAACATTAATAGTTTATTATAGTATATTTACCGTGAGCATTTAATTATGTGCTACCGATATTGCGACGCCGTTACAAACATCCTGGTCACGGCACGACTTACTTTAAAACAATTTTTATTAATAAGAAACAATACGATTTTGACTCGGTTCAAAAATGTGCTATAAAAATTATTATCTGGCGGTATCGAACCGCTCACCTTGTGGCGAGATTTTAGCGAGACGTATCGCTTTGTGTGTTCCACCAAATATAGGTACTACGGACTGTGTTAAGATGAATTTTTCGATATAATGCCCACGGGTTCCTTTTACCATCGCAGCGCTAGCTATCGACAGGGAATTCATCCCCACACGCTGGAACATAAATAGTCTAGGACAGTGCAGTTTCAGACGAGCTTCCTACCGCGTACACTTATGTAGATTGTGGAATTAACCACCTGCTGCGGTTTTCTCGAAAGATTAATAAGGTTTTTCAAGAAGAATATATTAAGATTATATTCTTAAGAGTCGGCAACACGCACCAGACACATTGTATTTCAAGCGTATATATGCTACGGTGGCTGTTTACGATCAGATGAACTGTATGCTTATTTGTCACCATCGTTGTATAAAAACAAATTCCTCGTTATATTAGGTAGAATATTTTGAAGACGAAATTAGTAAGTAAATACATTGCCACGAAAACAACCTCAACTCCCAGAATTTATCTAATAAATGTATGTAGCACAGAAGGTAGCTCGGGGGCTTGGGCGGATGTTACCAGTCAAAACAAACCAAAGTACTTGTTTGTAATGTATGTATGTATACCTAGTAGGTAGAGCTATTCTATATGTATATTATTATGTTTCTTGGAAATACAACACGGCCCAATCTTTTTACACAAGTATAATGTTTGGTTAAACATTGAGGTACAGTTAGCTTCATAAATAGGTACTTATATAGTTAATATTATTGTGAACGTTCAGGCCTAATAATTACGTCGACTTGACATAAAGGTCGTGAATTTGTTTCTGATCGATAATAAAATCTTTGTGTGTTTATTGAAAAGTTATCCAATTATTCATTATTTTTATTATTACTTTTATTATTACTTTATTATCCTCATCTGTTATTGTTCAGATGCATACATAATGAATATCGAAATAATATAATAGAAATACGGAATAAAAACTACAAATATCGATGTATATTAGGGTTGCCAACCCAAAATATAAAAACCAGAATTTAAAGTTGGAACAACCAGGACAATTTCGCAGTAATAGTTGCAATAGTTAAATTAATATGAAGAGAAAAAAGGTGAAATGAAGTTCAAGTAGGTATTTAAAATATTTAATAATAAAAGTATTCGAACAAAATTATATTTTAATTTTTAAATTTATTGATGTTTTATTATGTTAGTTGTAGGTATTATGCGCAGTGGATTTATTAAACAGGTTTAAATTTACGTACTTATTTTTTTATTTAGACACAACAATAATCTTAGGACTTGCAAAACCAGAGAGAATGTATAGACAATAAGTTACAGATTAATAAATCTATCTGTATCTCTACAGACTATACTAACAATATTTATAAACCTTTACGCTACTAACAATTCAAGACGTCCCAGGACACTACAAAAACTGGGATATGTCCTGGGAAAATGGGAGGTTGGTTCTAATGTACCTATACCTAAACAAACCCAGAGAACTAACAACCCAATAAGTCACGTGAACGTAATGTAAGAGGTTTCATGTGAACTGAAATTATTCAATTTCCGGTACATTTCGCCGCGAATCGCGATCGACGTTCCGGTCACTTGAGTGCCTACACCTGAGCATATTGGCAATGTATTTACGTACATACCTACACAGATATATGACATCTCGTCTTTTAAATAGAAAAATGGCACTAGACAAAATGTACATTTTTTACAAGCATTTAAAACTTTTAAATTTATTTATTCGTTTAAAGTTTTAACAAAAATTCACACAGAAGTACTTTATATCATTTTAAAAGTATTTATATAATGAATAAGACGTTAGATTTTAATTTAATTGATTAGATAGATATATTAGATTAGACGTAATTTTCATTGATTTACATAAAAGGCAATTCTAGCTTCTAAGTTTGAAAAATTACATTTTTCTATTTAATCAACGATCTATATCTATATTAAAACGTCAAGCAAAGCTTTGTACGGCTTTTTACGAAAATTGCGGTGTACGATATGTCGCCTACTTATTTTTACATAGTATAAAACAAAGCTGTCTGCGCGCTTTTACGCGTTATATCTTTTATATTACGCAACGGATTTTATTGTAGTTTTCAGCAATAGATATAGTAATTCAAGAGCATTGTTTATATGTATAATACATGCGTGTTATAGTACCGAATTTGAAGAGAAATTCAATGATTTGTAATGCATCCATGAAGGACGGGTCGCTAGTAGTTTATATAGATGTATGTTTCAGGCGTCCATAGGCTACGGTAACCGTTTACCATCAGATGGGCCGTATGCTTGTTTGCCACCTACGTGGTATAAAAAAAATAGAGAAAAAGTGTAGAATGTTATTAAGTTTTTAAATACGATTTCACATGTTCGCAAACATCCCTTACCACAAATATACCAGAAATTCTCACTTTTAAAATATCTACATATCTCATATTTACCTCCTCCTACACTTTGCCACATAGGGGAGGTGGTGGCAAGATGGGGTACTTAAGCTTTAAAGGTCTGTAATATAAAAAATTACATAGTGAAACAATCATATTTATTTTTTAAATAACAACTAATTATTATTATTCTTATATTTGGTGTCATTAGGAACTTTAGGTAACACATTTGAGAGAAAAAAAATAAAATAAAAAAAAGGTGTTTTGCCCCGTCTTGCCCCATGGTGCTGGTAAGATGGGGTACCCCCTGAGGTAAGATGGGGTGATGAGAATGATCCTATGATCTCTGTAGAACAATGATTATTCGAGCTGGCAGAACACGTAGACATGGATGACTTCATCATCATCATCATCATCTTATTTCTACGCAGCTATTATGAGTCCATCTTCCACTTAATGAGCATGATATCCACCCTTCAATGGAAACGGAACAAACTTCATCACAATACATACATGGTGTGTTCCCCCATCTTCACTTTCATATTCAGATGTTGAAACTCTTCATTGTTTTGCTGTTTTCGGTGATCGGCTATTCTTCTTTAATTTTTTATTTTGATCTTTTGTAGTAGTGTTCTTCTGTTTTTTTTTTATATTCATCTTTTCTCTTTTTTGTTTCTATTTTCTATAGTTTTTCTGTTCAGCTCTGTTTTTTTTTGTGGGCGATGACTTCTAATTCTTTTTTGTAGGAGGCGACGTGATAATTGCTGTGTGTCCACGCTTTTTAGCAACACGAGAGAATTTCCTTAGGAAGCCTTAACTTTTCTCTCTATAACCCATTTTTTCATCCAAAACCGCTTGAACTCTTCGCTTCCCGCATGGATTCTTCGGATCACGACCGACGACGTTAATCGTAGAATCATTCTAAAAAGACAAACTCACAAAAACGAACTCATTTTTTGGAAAACAAACTAGAACCGAATTATTCTCATCAGTTACCCCATCTTGCCTGCAGAGCCCTTTTATATAAAAAAATAAATAAAAACAAAACAGTCAATAATATTTAAAGAACACAATGCCTACTTTTTTATAGATTAGTTTAAGCATCAATCACAACAACACCTCACCAGGTAACGTTATTTAACAAACCATAGTCACGTGTTAAGCCAGAAGAAAATGTGATAAGCAACTTGCAATAAAACACTTATTTTGCATTTTTTTCGACACTGTACACTTGTGAACCACTAAACACACGGCGACTGATAAGTCTCATGGTGGCGCGTCGCACGATGATTGAAAGAGCGTGATTGATCAATTTGAACTGTAAATTTTGGTGGATACCCCGTCTTACCCACTACCCCATCTTACCTCCATCTCCCCTACAACATACATGCCTACACTCTCATTTACGTAAGATCACATAGAGTGTGGGCATGTAATAAGAAAAAATACTTGTCTATACAAAATAAGTAAAATTTGTTCTTTATAATCTTTAAAACGGCTGGACAGATTTAGACGGGTTTTCACTAACAAATAGCTAATGTTATAAGTCGTGACTTAGGCTACTTTTGTTTTAATAAAAAAATGGTCAAATTCCACGCGAAGAAGTCGCAGGTTACGGCTAGTATTTTATATAAAATAAACAGTAGGTACTTCGATCTACCTTTGAACTATTTTATTCATACTTTCGGTAAGTTTTTAATCGTAGAACAAATCTATCCTAATAATAAAACACTTGTGAGGAAAATTAATTAAGAGGTGATATTTTGGAATGGTTTTATAATTTGCTCTAATCATAGTATGTAAGTACTGAGGGAGGATACTGTTTAATAATGTGGATTATTAGGCCCATTGCTGCGGTAGATACTAAAAATCGTGTAGCATGTCAGGTCGACCTCTACACGAAGACCCCCGGGAATAGTCTTTGTTAGCATCCATTATAGTTTGCCACTTAGCCGTTACACACGGGCCGTTAGCACCATCATCCTGCGCTGGTGCCTCATCAGTATATACCGTTAGCACATAAGTAATAATATTATGACCTATTACAAAAATGTATGCATAAATTTGTTTCAGGATCAATCGGACGGGTCTACGACACCTCGCAACGACAAGTCTGGTGGACACTCACCCGCTACTAATGAAGGTAAATAAAGTTCTGTTGTAACTAGTGGTGGCCCAAATTATACTATAATTCCTTTAAATAAGTTTGACCTTTTTAAGATCTTATTATCAATTACTATATATGACATATCTAGTTTTCTAGAATGGCAAACGGATGAGTGGTATGGCGTGATACGACAACATTATGTTTGCAATTCCTTTTTTTTTACTACTCTAATGCCGCAGCTGGCCTTTACAGCTTCTCCGGAGGATAGGGGGTGAGTGCAGATGGCACTGTAATACCGCGGAAGGAGTTATGGAGCGGCTGAAGGCCAACTTCCGCCTGTCTGATACGATACGACGTTCGAACCTCGGTTCTGGCGTTAACGTCGATCCCCGTTAAAATTGTGCGAGGGATCGATCGGAGGGGACCTGCAATCCCTTGTTAAACAATGATACATGCCCCTCCTTGACGTGTTTAATGAACGGTCCCTAATTGGATTTACGAACGGACTGTCCACGTGAAAGTAAGTGGCAACCTATATTCATGAACAGCACTACGGACCTCACGTTATCAGATAACGCACCTAATACCACTATTGCGCTGCTACTTCGAAAAACTGCGTCCCTATTCCTATTTAAACAGCCTTGGTAGTATTGGTTTAGCATACCGCTTTACTATACGATAGTCGCGGGTTCGATTCCTAGCACGACACAAGTTTGTATTCATGAGTATGATTATTTGCATCGGCCTGGGTACTTTCTTTGTACCTATAATATTTGTATATTTATTTAACTAAAAGTATCTCCATTTATTTATATCAGTTGTCTAGTACGTGTTATGAGTACTAGACAACTGCTCTACTTTCTGCAAGCTCTGCTTGTCTTGGGACTAAATGGCGTTGATAAAGCATACAAAGATATTATGCCTCTTATGCTGGAATATCACTTCCTCACCCTTTAACCGAAGCAAATCTTGCAACTGCTCGGCGGTTATTGTGCCATCATAGCTTACTCGCTGCAGGTGCAGAACACGACAGCGAGCGGTGATGGTCAGCTACGGCGCTACTAGATCGACTCGCGCAGCGCGGATTTGCAGCGGACACTCGACTGGCACTGCCCCCCACAGGTTTCTTACTAACTTTTTGTATCTTATTATAAACTCGAAAGTTTATGAAACTAGCCTATGTTCTTTGATATAATATAATCTATGTTCATACAAAAATTCATAAGGATCCTTTCAGAAGTTTAGTGGCGAAAAAGTAGTGTTAGTGTAGTTATGATATTGTATTACTTTAGATATGACATACCTACTCTACAACTAGATATATGCTATATCTAAAGTACTAGAAAAAATTGTGTTGTCCAAATAAAGGATTTTAATTTAAACTTTGATATTTGCAGGATGCGCCCGTTACAGAGAGTTATGCTACCGCGCGGCGCACGCGCACCTCCCCGAGGAAGCCGCTGCACGCGCCTGCGACTGCGCCAACTGCACTGCACGCCGCAACTCCACCGCAGAACCATGAGATACATTCCAAGTTCGTCCAACCACATCCCTGACGCGACCAATACCCGCCCTGCCCTGCCTGTGGACTCGACGAACAAACTAGCGTATCCAATTTCCTTCAGAAATTCTTAATTCGACTATTCCTCATTTCTCATAGTTCTTCTAAACTCAAAATTGAAAAAAGCGAAATGTAACTGCAGCTGTGTATGGTGACAGACATACAGACTGTCCAAAAATTACGACGATAATCCGGAACTAGGATAGTTCTATCCTAGTTTCGGTCATAGTCAGAAAAATAAAATTTTCAATCTGTGATTATAAAACTGTAGGTATTTAAAAACAGTTGGTCCTGCTTTCGGTTTCTCAGCGAATTTCTCTTCCCTAATTGCCCGTATGCAACTACAATGGGCATTGTCTCATCTCAATTTGTAAATACAAATTCCCCTCATTCTAAATCATGTCGTGTATAGATATGTTTGCACTCTGTAATCTACACACTGGCGTTCAATTGAACATTTATTATGCTACGTACTAACACTACTAATAAATCTCAATTCTAATTGATTAAAGTGGTCCAGTCTGCAATTGAGTTTCAGATGCAAGCCCAGTTCTACAATTCGAAACTGTGTACTATTACACAACTGCAAAATTGTGTATTGTAATTTGTTTCAAATTACCATTCTTAGTAATAAAGTAACATAATTAAGATACTCAATTGCCAACCTACCTTATTTCTACTTGGACAAAATTCAGAAGCCAGTCTCCCTGACTAAATATGTGTATTAGTCTGAAACGACTCTTCCCATTATATCGCCATTTAAATTCCCGAAATGATAAGATACATTTATAAAATCTATCCTACTAAAATTAAAAAAAAAAAGTATTTGTATTATTCCTTTAACTTATACCTAGTATTTTATTTCATTTAGACCGTGGCCTTCGCTTTAGGAACTGGTCAATTCGTAGTGTGGTTCTATTTATCGGTGTTTCTAATTCTCTATCCTAGTGCCTTACCCGGTGTATTCACCCACCGCTCCCATTTAACTATATTAGATATAAATTATTCCATTATTCACATTAATGTTTTATGCACTTATTAAATATTAATGTAAACATCGTTTTAAACTTTTTCACGGTTATTTACAATTAGTACCACCAGTATACATATAAACGGGATATCACCAACACATTCCGTTTATATAAATGTGTACAATTTATGTAAAGTGCACATCCAAAGTCGCTTTTGTAATTAAGGAGAGAACACACAATGTGTTAATGCAATTTCTGTCCATTAACTAATTTAAGTGTAACTTACGATCCTAGAGTTAAACTTAGCCGTAAGAAAATAATGTGGATATATATCTTTACACTGTTTATTTTGAAGTTAAGTGCTACATAAAAAGATTTCGTATAAACTAATTAACTCAAATAACACGATTTCCATTATGTATAAAAGACTACGCCAAATTATCATTACTTATTTTATAATGTGTAGGTGGCTTAAATTATATCTAAGATCCAAGTATGGCTAAGCTAACAAATATTTCCTGTGTGCTAAATATTAATAAACGTCTTAATTTAAGAGGTTAACGTTAAAATTAGACATACATATCTTCTATAATAAAATCGTCTGAACTAGAATTAACTGCTTTTTATATATGATAGTTTTATAATATTTAATCTACATTAATTCTATTTTATAATTAATTTACCGTTTAAACTATGAACATTAATTTTAATTACATTATTACAATCTGATCTATTTTGGATTGTTCTTATCCGATGTCATTAAAATTTAATCGTACATTATTTAAATATATTAAAAAGGTCTACCTATTTGTGTTATAAAATGTAATTTAAAATGTTTCAAAAATTAAATAGTTTATTATAAAAGTATAGTATAATTCATTATTATCTATTCGCCATACGGACCTAATAGGAGACAAAAACAACAAGCGCAAACTTGTCTGAGATAGGATACATCTAACCAGTCTTTCTGATAATTTAAATAAAACTTAAGATAATTAGTACTTTTATTAAACAAAAATACACGTAGTCAAGAGTAACAACAGAACTCAATTTTCAACTTCAAGATTCAAAACGAGACAGTATGTACTAAAGTAAAAAAATCATATACGTTTGCACCGTTATATTTTTCATAAGGTCAAACAAAACATACTCTACTTACACATGATTTATTTATGAAATAGAATGTCACTACACATTCAATAAACAACAATATACATGAGTACATGTATCTACATACAATATGAACTCTTCGAGGAATTATATGGAATTTTTGAATACTTTATAGAAAAATACATTTAAATTTCGACATGAAACGGTCAGTTACGAAACAGGAAGAATTAATTTCAATTACAGTCAACTATTACATAAACTTTCAATTCATCTCAACGTCTAAATATTAACAAGATTCTTCCCTAGTCACTATTTTTGTGAATGAAAATCATATTATACCTATACCGCCTTTAATCAATTTACTGAAAATTTACAAATGCAATTGAAAAGTCCGTATTTTGTCCCTTTCTTTAAAATGAAGGAAATATTTGGATAGAAGACGACAAATATTTCAACAAACACTCAGAGTCGTGTATAAATGTAAACATTATATAAACGGAATAAACTCCTAATCATTATGGTAAAAAATCCATTTATATCACAGAACAAAGAAGGAGACAGAAAGATAGTGATAAGAAATTACTTAGAAAACCACTATCGCCAACACGCACACACTTTTTTTGTCCTGTGGTTTATATAATAAAGTAAAACAGTTCAATATCAAAATATGTTTTTAGACTCGCGTAATTGTGTATAAGGCGGTATAAATATAAAATGTATCTAATCAGATTACGAATCTTAATGAATATGAATATATAAAATTTGTAACTAACGCTATCTTAAAATGTAGAGTAGTAAATTAACTGCGAGTTTATGTTCTGTACATGTCTTAATTGATTGATACGAGTTATATATGCTAATATATATACTATGGATGCCATGCCCACACTACACATAGTTAAAAAAATGTTTACAAGAACATGTATACTTCCATTTTGTTCAAGATTGATTAAAACTAAACTATCGGATATTTGTCAATAAAATTCGAGATGGAGAGAGCAACCGCAGTTGTAATAAACATATCCAAAATACTTCAGCGAGACTTTCCTAGACTCGTATCCGTTAAAAACCTAGTATAAACCTATGATTGTAGTTTAAAAAATATATAATACATGCAATACCTACAAGTTTTGACGTTATATTACTTGACATAGCTGTCTTCAACGACTCTCAAAACTACATTGATATTTCAAGTCGAAAAAAACTACACAAATATCGCGTCGCCTCAATGTAGGTGTACTAGGATAACATAATTATAAAAGAGGTAGTGGGTCCAGCGGTCACTGGTTAACGCCTATAGGGGTGGTAAGAAGATGCTGATGCAGTGCCGCTGGAAGATGTTCCATGGTAGCTGCGCTTAGAAGATCTCTGGTATCCATCTCCTGAACCGCCGGTGTACTCATAATCATCACCTGTATTATGGACAGTATAAATTCACGATCACAAAAATATCATTAAACTAAAATTGTGTATTTTTAACATAAATATGTTATACTAAATTCAACTTTAATTTTATATTACCATGATTTAGTGTTATATTAACCCAATATTTTACGATAGCTCCTTCTAGTCCCAAACTATGCAAGGCTAGTACTACTATGAATACTAAACAACTTACGGAATATTCATTTATATTATATTTACAAATACAAACACACTCAATATACATATTAGGAGGGCAGAAGGCTGTTAGTAACGTGGATTGTTGACCCCATTGCTAGAATTGTAACTATGTAAGGTTGACCTCCACGCGGTGCCCCTTCGAAATTATCATAATAAATCCCTAGTGAATTGTCATAAGGGGCTAACTGACTTGACCTCGGTTTCATTTTATATCTTACCATCCATTAAAAAAATATACATATTAAATAAGAATTAAGTACATATAAAGGACCAGCAAAGATTGTTAGTAATCGGGACATGGGACATGTCAAATCGACGTCTACGCGGTTCCCCTTGAAAACCATCGTGGTGTACTTTTTGTAAATTCGCTACGATATGTTAACTGACCTGACTTCATGCTCATCTTATTATTTTTCCCTGATCCTCCCCGCCAGCCTATATCGTAAACGCTGGCATCTATGGATAACAATCAGACAAAAACAATCATACTCATTAATATGTTTGTACTGTGCGGGAGTCGAACCCGCGAACACTGCAAGATGTATGGTAAACACTACTGCTACATTACGTCCTTCGATTTAGCAATACTTAGTAATTAGAATAATAATAAAAAAATGAAACTTACCGCACCACGCACCACATTCCACCAACAAGAGTAACCACCTCTAATATTGACAGACCATGCCGAACTTCTACAGTCCTAGTAACCTTAACTATACATCCTAATAAAAACTAAAACTCCCTAAAAACCTATTTTAACTATTACAGTGTATAAGGGAAAGGGAATTGTTAGTAATGTGGACTGATGATCTTATTGCTAACAATGTACCATATCGGGTTGACCTCCACGCGGTTACACCTGGAAACCGTCATGGTTATGTTTATATAATCAAGATGGGCAAAAATGGAAGCGAAAAACATATTACGCCGACCCCAAATAAATAGGATAAGGAAGAAGCCGATGATGAGAATCAAGATGGGCAAACTGATCTGACCTAATGTTCATCTTATCATCCTCCACTGGTGCTCCGCCAGCGTATGCCGTATGCGCAGGAGGGAAACCATTACATTATCACCGATTTGAAAATAATCTAAGTGTTTAATTTCTGTCATATGAAGAATACAGTACAGTAACATTCAATAGTTACAATATGTTTTGTTTATTTATTAATAATAACCCTAACATTAGTTTAAAAAAACCGAATGTTTTACATAAAAATTTTTAAGTATAAAATTTCCTTACCAACTGTATATTATTAAAGGTAAAGGTATGTTATTAAAAATGGGAATAAGAAATTATACGAATGAACCAGATAACGACATTTTTGGAATCAATGTAAAGTTTAGTCTTATTAGAGACCCGTTTAGACTGGACGGCCCGTGCCGAGGACTCCA